TCGGTTAATATTTGAGCAAATATATTAGCAGATTTGTCATGCATAATGCAAGCAGATCGAATGTAAACAGTCAACGGGCCAGTCCCAAACTGTTTGGCCACTCAGTGTACATTCGTTTGGCCCTGAGAGGTCTGGTATAAATAATACAGTATTGACAATAGCAGCTACTCACTGTTTTTACGATTAAACATTAGCTCTGTTTGTGTTTATTTCGAGAAAGCTAATAGAACATAATTCTTATGTTTCAATTTGATCAAAATTAAGTTCTATTTGCACTGGCCTTGATGCAGGCCCAAAACCAATCAAAGATATGGGCTTCAGAACATATTATACTTACTTACTTTGATGTACTTACTGGCAACAGTTTTTTCGTCAAGACATCGAAAGCCAGAAGCTGCATCAAGCTCAAATGTCTTACCTCATTAAGAGTCCTTTTTGTGACTTCTCCTTTAATTTCAATTCCAGCTCCCAACCGCAAATTCATCATCATCTCGGTGTGGTGCAAACACATTACAATTTTATTTTTATTCAATTTTCGCAGAACGATATCAAAAGGGAGTGAAAAACTCAACTCCACTGCCAGTAATACAATTTTCACCTTCCCTTTTCCGCCGCCAAATGCCTTTTGAGGGAAAATTATATTTTTACATAATTTAACAAGTCGAACGAGCTGGCGCGAACAGGGGGGGACAGGAGCTTGGAAAGTCGATGGCAGTGGCGGCGGCGATGGTTTGTCCGTCATTTCGCCGGGTCAGTTTGCCATTTCTTTATGCTTCTGTCGCCGGATGAAGGCCTGGTTAATGTTCCCGATTTTGTCGTTGTTGCGGCAGCCATTGCATTGACCACTAAAAGTACGCCATTAAAGAGCGTAAAACTGTGCCATTTCTTTGCAGCACCCGGCTACTACCCATTCCCGGGGACCACTATGCCGAAGTGCCCCTTGAGTGGCAGCACTTTGAATGGGGTTTACGGCCCCCCAGTTCCATCACACCTTCCTTCGATGCTCGGAGGACCCGAGGTTCCTTTTTTTCCGCCACCACCGCTCATCCATTTAAAGTGTAAATTATGTTGTAAATACGATTTTTTAGCCGGCAAAATGTCTTCATCATCAAGTGGTTTGCTCAAGGGGATGGATTCCTTTTTTCCCAACCTTCCACGGGCGCAAATGGTGTAAAAGTCAGAAAGGTTTGCTAAGTGGAAATTGGTGCTTCAGGAAAGTGTGCGAAAATATTGTTTATATCACGGACTTGAGACTTAAGAGATGGGGCGGGTGTACTTTCCTTTATAGAATCCCGATCAAGCCGAACAAGCTGTAGACCTTCGGTGCAGATATTTGCCCCATATGGGTCTTAATTTAGAAAATGTATGTCTTTAGTTCGAGCCTTTGGGAATCTATTTCAGTTTCCTTCCCATGCAATTCCCAATCATGCCATATTTCCCAACCATATTTGCATTTATACTGATCCAATCGCTTACTGCAAAAGATTATCAATAGTCCCAGGGCAATTGGCGAAATCCATGCGCCCGTATTTAAACTCAAATGCTGCATAATAAGCCAGTTGAACAGCCCGGCCTGAAAGGCAGACATCCACCGGAAATCTGAAACTAAAGCCAAGGGGCAGTCGCATGGCTTTCAGCGGAAAATCATTTTCAGAGATGTCCTGTAAGCGCCTTTGGCACTCTGCCCTCTGGCACAAGGATGAAATGAAAAGAGAGGGGCAACAGAGCTCACAGGGGTAAGGGCATTGATATTGGGGGGGGATGGAAGGCCGTGGGGAGCCCAACCGCTGGCCAGCAGAAGACACTTAAGTCTAATGGTCCTGTCAGCCAAGCCACCGTTTTTTTTTCTGGCCCCAGACTGAGCCACTCGCAGCAGAAGAATTCGCTTCAATTCGAAACGCTACTGCACGCATACAAATTGACAATTTTATTAGCACATAAATTAGTAAAAATAATCAATAAGCAATGTGCCAAAAAGCAGTCGAGAAAAGTTAAGGAAAACAGGAATGTGGGCATAATCGAATTGGGAGTACTCTAGAAATATTCGGAATAAAATGATTGTTTTATTTTACAAGCTAAAGGTACATGCTATTATAACTGATTGGCTTATATCCTTAAAATATATTAAAAAAATTTAATTAATTGGTTATCGAAAATGTCACTCTACTCATCTTAACTATTCGTATACTACTTTAAAACCATTTATCATTATAGTAAGAACTTACTTATAAGAACTTACCTTACTTTAAGCAACATTTGTTAGGGAAGCTTATGCTCTAAATTGGAATTGGTAGATGGCTGAAATAAATTCAATTTATTGGCTTTATTATTGCCGGGATTGGAATGCCTACGAGTACGAATGCCAGACCGAGGGGGATAACAACTTCCAAGCAAGACCAAAGTCATCGCCAAGGACTCTTCCTAAAGTCGATGAATCCAGTTCCGAAATATTGGTCAATTAGTGGTGGGGGGGAAGTATTGGATTTGGACACCAATATAGGCTACTCGGGAAGAGGATTCCTGCTAATTCTGTGCTTTTATTTCGCCTGCCATTTCCCACTTCCTTCCTAATTGCTTAATTCACGAGCACTTTTGCATTACATACTTTTCCGTTCCCTGTGGGCGGCTAAGTGGACTGCAGACTAGGGGGCGTGGCATCTCCGCAGCTAGTCGACTATTTCGCGCCGAAAAAGTTGTGCGACGACGACGATGATGATGACGCTGTTGTTCCACCCCGAGTTGTTTGTTGTTGAACGCTAATTAACTAGATTTTTGAAGGGAAAACCGTTTGCTAATTTGAAAGCGAAATACTTTCCCAGCCCCTCCGGCGTCATTTTCAAATGAAAAGTTATTAAGCATGCTGCAAAAAGGGGCTCCACCGAGGGAGTTTTACATCCAGTTGCACTATTTCATGAAACTTTGACATCAGAGCGGGTAGTCTGACCTGAACTCATCCCATGGATGTATAAACATTATCCCAAATGTCCCAAATATTAAAGCTTGAACACTTGGTATAAATTAGAATCATTTTTTAAAGTAAATCGGAATAAATTTGGCCATTACTTTGCTTAGATATTCTAGACTATATTTTTAAAGACAACTTGGTAATTCTGATTTATGCCTGGTCTCTCAGTGACATAACGCCCCTTCAATTGCATGATAGCCATCCCCAATGGATGCAAATTTTCGCAACTGGCTTACTGCCAAAAAGAATTGTACAGTAGACGGGGCGAGTGGCCCACTTAAGTGGCGGAAATGGAATACAACTAGACGGGAACAGAGCTGGAAGGAAAAGTCACGGGGAGAGCTGGAATCGTGTTCTGAGGGCGGGACGCTATCATGCTTAACTGACATTAGAACGTGATTAGATTTCATTTAAGCATTAAGCACAACTGACAGCCAGCATGACAGCAGGAGGTTGAAAATGATATTTTGAGCTGGCAAATTTATTGACAATTAGCCGGCAAGTGTGATACCGGTGGGCAGAGACAAGAGACTGGGCGTGGGGATGGCGAGCATTAATTATAACGTGCATAATTAACAAATCTGGCATTCGACGGGGCAGCGGCTTTAGCTGGCCGGGACTTTGACTATAACCCCACTGAGTGCACACGCTCACGGGGGAGAGTCCAATAATCGTTTAGTCACAGCCAAGGCCGAACCTAGAAGTCGAAAGTCAGGGGGATGGCTTCCTGAGGGTGGTGGCTTTGGCCGGTCGGGCAGCGCTAATGAAAGCACAGCCGGGAGAAATTGGTTTACGGGCTGTTTACGCAAGTAGAAGTTATTAGTTGAGCTCGGCTCCTCCGCTCCGTCCCTTCTAATTTGCGGTATTAATGACAGCAAGGGGGAGTGGACTCAAATATCCTCATAATTGGCAACGGTTTCTGGAAGCAATGTCATATATATAGTTAATGCAATTACGATAATCACGATAATCAGTGGGTCTCTCAAGAAGAGCCAATCAATGGTACTTTCAATGGTCATCTTATAGTTACAAGCTATTCGTTTTTTTATTAGGACTCTTGTCTTTTTATCCTTTTAAAGCACCACATACTTCTCGAGGAATAGCCCCTAAAAAGCCCCTAAAACTTCCATGACCTGCATCACATCAGTGCCTACCATCATTTCCACCTAGACAGGTGAGGAGCGAAGGGAAAAACACACATAAAGAGGACAACAAAAACGTCAGCTTTGTTGCTACAAAGTTAATCAAATACAAATAGATTAGTTCAAAAGTTCACGTTGTTAGAACGTTTGGATGCCAAAAGTCAAATTGTGTCAACTGCTGGGGCGGCAGGAAAAAAGACATAGGAAAAGGGCGGAAAACATGTCAGAGCTTCTCAGGACAAGTTTGTTGTGATGTGTTGTTGTGCGTGTGTGGGCGGGGCGAGGACGAGGGCGAGGGCGAGGGCGGTTTGTTTCCGACAAGAAAAACAAATTGCCTATTGGGTGTGCAACTGGCAAAAAGAAGCTTATTGAAATGCCTGAAACGAGGTCAAAGGGAGGTCAGTGGAATCGCATTTGAATTGCAAAGTAGAGATATTGAATATCCGAGGTGACAATTTCCGCAGTGCACCTCCTTGCCCGGTTATGCTTCGGCCTCGTCAGGCAGAAAATTAAAATCTTACCCAGAATTGCCAGTGATTATGAGCACAACTCTTAGTCCCCTGGGGCAATAGTCCGTAGTTCTTCAATTACTTTGCATAAATACGACGCCAAGAGGGGGAGAACGACAACCTAATTAGCTCACAGACACGGCTACATTTCATTAGACAAATGGTCTCTGGTGTATAATTTTAATACGCAATTACTGGCATTTCAACGACACTCAATGATGCCTGATAGTAGGAGACACCCACCCACCCATCCAGTAAACCCTCAACCAGCCACCCGCCATCTAATGCCTGGGCAATAAATTTCATTTGAAGGCTTAGGGCCCAGTTACCTTGACTCCTGCTCAATTGGAGAGGCTTTAAATTATTTGACAATTTATGCGAAAATTATGTGCGAATCGGAGTCGAGTTGAGCAGCCTCATCTCCACTGGCAACTCGGAGCAAAAAAACGAGGGATCTCTTTATTGCCAGCCATTAATCAATTTGTTTGGTTGTCATGTCGCCGAATCTTAAATTTCATACCAGATTTCCCGTTCCTCCCTGCAGTCGGTCCGTTCCATTTCCTCGATTTCATAGAAGATTTGCAGGGGGCAGACGAATTTATAGAACTGCCTTAGCACGAAGAGTACCGATTCAAGCATGTTTTCGGGATCCTCGATACGGAAAGAGTGCACGGCCTGCAGAAGGGACACACGCCTAGATACTGGCAGTGGAGCTGTGATAACGAACACGTCTGGTGGAGCGGGCAAAGGGCCGGAGTTCCCAAGTAGAGAAAAGCCTTTCCAAGGGCTGCGAAAAAATTAATATTACCTTATTACCAATTAATACTTTAATACAAGAGGAACACAAACTCAATTTCAAGACTAGTAATTAATAATATTATATCTAAACGCCTTCCAAAGTCCATTTCATTTCACTCACCACATGCTAAGAGTCGTAGTGCTTGTTTAATTGGGTCGAGCGGCTGGTGTTTCTTTTGATACTTGAATTTCATTTTCTGAATTGAATTTCAAAGCCGGGAGATCCTACGCCTGCTCCGCTCTGGTGTTGCCTTTGAAAATCTCTACCCTTTACGTTTCTAATTGGCACCACGAAAGCCACGAAGATACCGGCGCAACGCCTCAATTACACTTTGCGGTTTGTAAAGGCGGCATAGTTTTCAAGCCGACTGATTAATCCTCTAATTTATTAGCTGGGATATCCTTAATCCTTCTGAATATTAATAGAACAAATCTGTCAAAGATAAGACATCCTTGGTGGAGATACAACTAATGGAGGCCTATGAACTACTAAATGTTCTTATAAATAGTACCTTGTTAAAAGGTAGTACTAAATTTTCTTTGTGTTACAATTAACTTTCCCAAAAGTTTTTGACCAAAACTTTAATATTATTGTACGACACATACAAGGTATACTTTTGGGCCGGAATTAAACCCTTTTCGTGGTTATATTGTTCGAAGAAAGGGTTTCAGGGATTCAACAAACACATTTAAAATGCAATCAATCTGGAACGGGCAAGAATTGGGCGTTACGCAAAATGAAAATTAATTGCGGGCGCATTTATTCATTTATTAATTGATTTTCCCCTTGAACCATTTATCCAGTTCCGGGTAATGCATAAATAAAACGGTTAGTGGCATTGTTCGTTATAAGCTCATCTGCTTTTATTGAATATTCCAATTTGGTGAAGACTTGTGTTTAAACAAAGTGGATAAAACGTACATTAACTAAGTGATATTTATTTTCAAATGTACATATATTTAATTTCACAAAGTTTTCAAGGCAATTATTACCTGTCGTTGCTCTTTCATCAAGCATCAAAGGCCTCTGGATAGTTCGAAATACTATTAAATGCTCCCGATCTTGTCAGATCAGGCCAAACTTCAGTCTGTGGGCCGTCACTTCATCATTTGGCCCGCATTCTTCCAACCGCTTACTATAACAATTATTGCCAACCACACGTGGACATGGACATGAACAAGGACATGGACATGGACATGGATACGGGATCTGAGTCCGAGCATGTAATGTGCTCAATTTTTCGCATTTTGCACATCCGTCGGCCGGAACAGAGCCAAGGCAGAAGCTGATTCGAATGGCCACCTGCCAGCCATAATAATATTAAACAATATATATAAATCACTCAGCTGTCTGGAACATACCGGGCAGGAAAAGAAACTGGAGAAGGAAGGTGTTGGGGTTTCATAAAAATTTACCGCCATACTGCTTATTTTAAAAGTCAATATGTTCGGTGCCTGTTATTTTAACACCCATCGTGTCCAGGTGCCACCACTCCGGTCACATCCGCTTGTGAAAAGAACGAGACAGGCGACAGGAGCCGGAAAAGCACCAGTAGCAGTAGCACCACCAGTAGCAGCACCAGTAGCAGGAAAAGCCGGAAGAACAGGAAAAGCAGCAACAGGAGCCAAGTGTCAGTGGCCAACGTCACAGCCCACAACACACAACATAAACATAAAGTGAAAAGTTGAGCGAGGAAGCAGCAAACTGTCGGGAAATAAGCTGGAAGGTCCTCAAAGTCTGCACTCCTTCCCCATATATATAATATATATATATATATAGTATTTTTTGTAAGGGGCAGCCAAAGCAAAGCGTCACATGTTGCCAAGACCGAGAAAAGTGGAGGATGGCTTGTTGTTCATATCCTGGCCTGTCGTCCGTTCATGTGACATGATTATGTGCAAAAAGTGCAACAGGCACCGTGCCCGGGTATCCGATTTACCCATCCAGCAACCAGCACCCCTTCCATCCCAGCTTCCAACCTTCATCTCACCTGACACCGTGTTAAGTAGCCCTCGAGTATTGTGGAAGTTGTTGGAGGGTGCTGGCTGGCAGTGGTGGGTCCTTTGTGGACGACCCTGCTTCTCACTAAACTTACATGTTATCCAACATCGCAACCGGATAAACTAACCCCACCATAACAAGTCAGAAAACTTGGCCAATTTATTTATTAGCTTGTTATTGGAGTCTTTTGTATTTAAGATTTAAATAAATTGACGAACACTATAAGATCTTAAGAGTGTATACACATACGAATGTACCCTCGACTGATTTTTTTTCAATGATTAATATTCGACTCTGTCTTAATAATGTATTTGACCTTCTGAAGACCTCAGATCTGTCAAATTTCGCAAAAAAAAGAACACACTTTCTTTCAAACGTTGTATATACATAATTCTAGCGCTAAAACTAAACATAAGTGTATGCCACATATGTATATTTTTTCAATCATCATTTAATTAATTGTACTATGAGTAATCAATTAAATGAATCAATGTATTCAACAATGGTGCTGATACTGGTGCTGTCTATGAAAAAGCTCTGTGTGTGTATATTCCAAGTTTGGATGACAGTTGCTATTCAGCAGCCAGAAGTAAAAGATCACCAGTCTTGAGAAAAATGAAAAAGTTGTGGATATTGGCATTTTTCGTTTTCATAGCGGCTGAAGAAGACGAATCTGCCGATTATAGCTATCTTGGGACCGAGGGACCCAAAATTGAGCGAGGAAGCGAACCTAAAGTGACCGTCGAACCCAAAGTGAGTTAGAAACAAAACTAAACTAGTGCTCGATTCAGTAAATTAATATTGAATATGAATATGCCTTGCTTTAATACTCCTAGAAAACGTTTAACGATTGGAGTGGATTCCAATGCGGACATCGCGAAAATGATCTTACGAGTTTGAACTTCAGTGCCATATCTGATTTAAAGACATTCAGATTGCACCCTTGGATGGTGGCCATATACTCGAATGAATCGAAAAATTTCATTGCTACAGGGACACTGATCCGATACGATGTAGTTATCACGGCCTTGAAGGGAATCGAAAACGTGCCAGACGATCAGTTGGTAGTGGAGGCAGGCATCATGAATCGAACAGAAACCAAACAACTTTATCGCTTTGCCCGCAGCGTGTCCATCTACTTGTCATTGGCACTGATCCACCTCACCACACCGTTTACAATGCAATTTTCACATGTGCGTCCAATATGCCTGCCTCGGCTTAATGAAGTTTTCACAGAAAGATCCTGCGGAACGGTTGGCTGGTATTTTAACTCCGACAATATAAGGGACAAATCCATTACTGTCAAGAAGGACTTCCTTTGGCAGAGACCCTATGTAGTGATGGGAAACGTGGACTGCCTCACCGAGTTTAACGAGACAATCGATAATAATACGATCTGCTGCAAGGACAAGCTCAACACATTCCTTCCTCTGAATATCGGTGCAGGTTTAGCCTGTAGAACCGATAACTTCGTTTTGGCTGGTGTAAGCCTTTTAAACAGTGACTGGGTCATGGACAACAAACCCACCCTCTTCGTCAACATTCCCGATTATTTGCCGTGGATTGAGTCAGAGCTGCAACCATATTTCGACGCAGCTTCTCATAGCTCTCAAGCACCAGCAAAGGATTCTGCCGAATATCATTCTTCAGCAACCGGCACCCCTTCCATCCCAGCTTCCAACCTTCATCTCACCTGACACCGTGTTAAGTAGCCCTCGAGCATTGTGGAAGTTGTTGGAGGGTGCTGGCTGGCAGTGGTGGGTCCTTTGTGGACGACCCTGCTTCTCACTAAACTTACATGTTATCCACCATCGCAACCGGATAAACTAACCCCACCATAACAAGTCAGAAAACTTGGCCAATTTATTTATTAGCTTGTTATTGGAGTTTTTTGTTTTTAAGATTTAAATAAATTGAAGAACACTATAAGATCTTTAGAGTCTATACACATACAAATGTACACTCGACTGTTTTTTTTTTTATGATTAATATTCGACTCTGTCTTAATAATGTATTTGACCTTCTGAAGACCTCAGATCTGTCAAATTTCGAAAAAAAAGAACACACTTTCTTTCAAACGACGTATATACATAATTCTAGCGCAAAAACTAAACATAAGTGTATGCCACATATGTATATGTTTTCAATCATCATTTAATTAATTGTACTATGAGTAATCAATTAATTTAATCAATGTATTCAACAATGGTGCTGATAATGGTGCTCTCTATGAAAAAGCTCTGTGTGTGTATATTCCAAGTTTGGATGACAGTTGCTATTCAGCAGCCAGAAGTAAAAGATCACCAGTCTTGAGAAAAATGAAAAAGTTGTGGATATTGGCATTTCTCGTTTTCATAGCGGCTGAAGAAGACGAATCTGACGATTATAGCTATCTTGGGACCGAGGGACCCAAAATTGAGCGAGGAAGCGAACCTAAAGTGACCGTCGAACCCAAAGTGAGTTAGAAACAAAACTAAACTAGTGCTCGATTCAGTAAATTAATATTGAATATGAATATGCCTTGCTTTAATACTCCTAGAAAACGTTTAACGATTGGAGTGGATTCCAATGCGGACATCCCGAAAATGATCTTACGAGTTTGAACTTCAGTGCCATATCTGATTTAAAGACATTCAGATTGCACCCTTGGATGGTGGCCATATACTCGAATGAATCGGAAAATTTCATTGCTACAGGGACACTGATCCGATACGATGTGGTTATCACGGCCTTGAAGGGAATCGAAAACGTGCCAGACGATCAGTTGGTAGTGGAGGCAGGCATCATGAATCGAACAGAAACCGAACAAATTTATCGCTTTGCCCGCAGCGTGTCCACCAACTTGTCATTGGCACTGATCCACCTCACCACACCGTTTACAATGGAATTTTTACATGTGCGTCCAATATGCCTGCCTCTGCCCAATGAAGTTTTCACAGAAAGGTACTGCGGAACGGTTGGCTGGTATCTTAACTCCACCAATATAAGGGACAAATCCATTACTGTCGAGAAGGACTTCCTTTGGCAGAGACCCTATGTAGTGATGGGAAACGTGGACTGCCTCACCGAGTTTAACGAGACAATCGATAATAATACGATCTGCTGCAAGGACAAGCTCAACACATTCCTTCCTCTGAATATCGGTGCAGGTCTAGTCTGTAGAACCGATAACTTCGTCTTGGCTGGTGTAAGCCTTTTAAACAGTGACTGGGTCATGGACAACAAACCCACCCTCTTCGTCAACATTCCCGATTATTTGCCGTGGATTGAGTCAGAGCTGCAACCATATTTCGACGCAGCATCTCATAGCTCTCAAGCACCAGCAGAGGATTCTGCCGAATATCAATCTTTCGAAGAATACATAGAGAGTTCTATGTAATCTATGGAAGCTATATTAATATGTATATCTGCACTATATACCTATACTTTGCATTAAAAGCACGCACACTTTAATTCGAGGTATTTCACTGATAGGGAATACAAGTAATTATAAATAATTACCCGAGGGATAGATGGACTACGAACGAGGTTGATTCTTAGAACCAAGAGTAACCGTACGACTTTTCATAAGCTCATTTCGGTTATGACTAACTCGAAAGTCGAAAATGTCGAGTGTGCCGGCACACGTTTATCAGTTGATGTGTGTGGTACAATCACAATGGGAATTCAATTGGGCATTTTTTTGGGGCTAGCTGTATAGAGCGCTTCCATTTTCTGATCGCCTGTTCAATTAGCAAACTATTTAAAATGTTTTAAACTTTTTCACGCGCTGTATCGTTAAATATTTCTAAAGAAAATAAAAACAATTCCCGGCCCGGCTGGCGTTGAGTTGAGAGTAAATGGCGATCTTCAATGTTAGCTGAGAGGTAAACCGAAATCGTACTAAAATGCCCTTTTGTCGGGTCTTCTCCGGCTCTCTTAACGAGATACGGCGTAACGGTGAATGCGTAAGTTTCTAGGAAATACGGTATTATTTTGTACTAATTCCAATAGGCGAGCAGCATTCGAGGGCAGTGTTTCTCTTGGAGACTCTCCGCCATTTGCTGATAAGTGGGAATGTGTACGGTGAACCCATACATGCAGCCCCAACGAACACACAGATACTCGAGTTTGTTTGGCTTTTGTATGTATCTACGTATCTCTGAGGTTAATTTGTTTATAAGCAATCATCGCTGAGCTTTGTATTCATTTGTTTAAACATTAAGTGCACTGAAACACAATATTTCTTTTATTAAACCTTAGAAATCTTTACATATAGCTTGGCTTCTCAAGTGATAATATTATAAAAATGTTATCATATTTTTAATAGTTGTTAATATGTCTTTAGGAAAATTAAACAACAGGTCGTGCCAAGTTTTAAAATGATTTCGTCCAGTGTATTTTACAAATCACTTTTTATCCAAACGAAAAGCAAATGCGGAAGATATACCCACTGCCTCTAGAGCACTGATCTCCTGTGATTTTGGATAAATGGTCAGCTTTGAAGAGCGGCGATTGAAAGCGAAAGTGTTTTATTAAAAGCGAATATTTTACTCTCCACCCTGGGATATTCTATAAGTCAAAGGGGCCCGATCCGCGCAACTGTCGCCAACACAATTCGATTCGTTATATGTCAGATAGATTATCAAGAAATTCCCACTCGTCAACAGCCCCACCAGCGCACCAGTACTGCCACTGCCCTGCCCCACCTCACCCGTCAAACAGAGCATGCCCTGTAACCACTCGAGTGGAGCATGCTAGATGCATCCGACAAACGACTTTCAAACGCTTTCTGTGCGCTTGTTACAAAAAGTTTATAATTTCGTATTTAACAAAAAAATTAATGTTTTACAAGCAAGGGGGATGCCACCCAAAAAAGTTTATAAACATTTCCAGTTGATGAAAACCAAATCTCTAGCAGTGTATATTTCGAAGCGATAAAGGCAGTTCAGATTTGAGCGTTTAGTTAATACAACAAAAAATTAAGTATACGTACATATGTACTTCTTTCTTCTTAATTTTTTGCGCAAATATATAAAAAAACTTTATAGTTTCTTTAGTAAATATTTTAAATCAAATCTTTAGCTGAAATATTTTAGGTTTTAGATTACTTTTCTGAATAATAATACTACGAATATGTTCAGATTCTTCAAAAATATTTTAGCAATTATATCGCCGTATTTATATAATATTAATATAATAAAATAATAATTTTCAACAATATACTTTATTTCTGTAGGTTATATTTTTTTTATTTATAATATGTAGTAATTTTAAAATAATAATAATATGACAAAGTTTTATGAAAAACTTTTTCATTTTCATTGAAATTTATTATTATTTATTATATTATTATACTAAAAAAAGAAGGTTGCTTACTCATGAAACGTTGAACGTGATTGGTTACTTTCAGCGGGGGAGCACTGTGTTGTTCGCTGATATCATCAAAAAAAGTCAGCGCTCTCCACTGTGGAGCGTGAATTCTGTTCGCCTCTCGCTCCCACCAACAGTAGTGGCTGCGTGCCCCCATTCAGTTATTGCCATCTCTGTTCCGCCAACGCGCTACGGTCAACGATCTTCAAAATTCAAAAAGGAAGGGTCATTGAACTGCCGAAAAGTTGAAACCGAAACCACCCGGGGCACACTCTGAATTTCCTGGTCGCCTGGTGCGGGCAACAGGCGTCTGATTTTTCTTTCAATCGTGCTCGATCTGCTCCATAGCGGCGGTGGGTCAGGGGCGGACCCTGAACGTGACACCGTTGGCGGCCGCTCACCTTGGAGCTCGCGGCCGGAGCGTTGAACCTTGCCGGGCAGGGTCGGCAAACGGTTCGGAGCCCAAAAGTGGGTCAAGTAGCGAGGCAATGAGCAGTGCGGCCGTCTGCCGAAATTCACTTTCGTTTTTTATGTAGAAATCGATAGCCGGCTTTGCTCGACGACCAGGCAACCAGGCAGCGCAAGCCAACGAACTGTATCTGCATCTGTGCCGCGCCCCACTCGTATCTGTATCTGTATCTGTTGCTGCCGCTGTATCTGTATCTGCCACGCACCCAGCTCATCTGACGGCTGCCTTCCCTTTCGCTTTCAAAACATGATCGATAATATAGTGGCAGCAAGTAACAGGTCAGCATAATGCCTAAATAAACGGGCTCGCTCTTCAGTTTGTGTTTCGCTTACGATGACCTCGTTTCGCTTGTTGCCTGTATTTCGGATTCGTTTTGTTTCGTTGGGTTTTGTTTTTGTTATTTTATTATTTATGTGGAAGCTTTAACAATGGCAGGGAAGTTGAAGGAGCATCAGTGTCAAAAGTGGTTTAATTGTACAACAGGGCTGAGAGAAAGTTAACTGATATACATAGGTAATTAAGTGTCACATTAATATTTGCAATGTTATTTCTTATAATAAGAATGGATGAAATTATAATCTAGGTTCTAAAATATAAGAAGCAGTTAATAATTTCATAAACATTCATTATTTTCTAATATCTAAATACAAAGATTTGTTCTTTATAGTCTTATAATATTAACAAATAACTATAAGAATAAATATCTTCTCATTACAAAAAAAAGTATCTCTTCTTTTCTAGTAGTATTTGTTCTAGAAGCCCTTTGATCTTTCCTGAGCTCCTCCCTTTTGTATATTTATGATATTGTTACCTTGGCGGGTATTGCTATTGTTGCTCCACCGCTGGTTAGCGCTTCTGGTTTTCCAAGGTTTTCCAGTTCGATCGAGGCAAAAACCTCAAGGTTCTTTGAATTAAACGTAAACGTAAACAGTCAGTGGCAAGTCGGCGGCGCCGTTGCTGGCCCTCTTCTGTTGGCCTGGCCAAAATAGAACAGCAACGGTTTCTAAATAGTCTGACGTCTAATCTTTGCCAGCGTTACCACCGCCCGAGAGCCTCTTTCCACGCATCGGCTAAGCAAATAGTGCTTCGATTTACGCAAATTCGGCCTGGCCAGCGGTCGGCGGCCGGCTAGACAACCGGCCCGGCGGATGAGATTAGTTTTTTCGTACTATTTCGATCCGGCGCTCAGCGGCATACAGCAGCCGTCGAGCGGGCGCAGCATGAAATGTTTATGCTGATATGGAGGCAAAAGCAAAAGCAACTACAACGACAACGACATCGCGCTCCGTACGCAGCGAGTAACATTAAAGTCAACGTGAAACAACAATTAGTATTCAAGGTTAACCAGAAACGAGGCGCGCGGAAAAAATAAAAAGCTGAACGCCAGCAGTTACCAAGTGGGGGGACTACGAAAATCGGCGGTGGAGCAATTGTTAACATACTCGCAATGCTTAGCCCCCCGCCAGTAAACCGGTTTAAGGTTTTATTTATTTTTTTTGTACAATTGGAAACTAGAAGCTATTTTAGGATGCAAGATAGGTATAGAAGATATAGATATAGCTAGAAGATATAGCTCAGAATTTTTCAACCAAAAAGAATTAAAACTTGCGTCAAAACTATAAGTTGCTTTTTAGCCGATCTTTATATCTTGAAAAATTTCTATAGATATCTACATTCTGTTTCAATCCTGTTTCAATTGTTAACAATTAAGATAAACAGATATGAGCAGCGTCTACAATCTAACCACTTATGCATACAAAAATTACCCCTAATTGGGTGCGCTCATCTGTTATAAATGCTTACGGCTAGAAAGCAATGGGCTTCTGGCCCGCTTCTCAGTTCAGTGACCCCGGAGGGAGGCGCCCATCAACCTTTGACTGGAGGGCAGCAGAGGTTGCTGGGGCCCTGGTCGGTTGCCACAACTCGATTTCCTACATGGCGGATGGCGGATAACAAAAGCGTCGAGCCCCCTTATGATTTATGATGGGTTCTCGAAGAGAGCGGCTCTTTCCGAAGCGATTCACTTTCGATTTTAATTTTTCTAGGAAGCTTTTTATAAATTCGACCAGGGGAACAGCTTAGGGCTGTTGGCCACAATTGAGATCACCGAATTTTTATTTTATAATCAGCTTTTTGAGGTAGACTCTTCCGGTTGTCTCTGTCGCACCCACTTCTGTCTGATACGTTAAAGTTTTCATGAGGTTTTTGTTGGCACTTTGAGGTCTTTTTTTTTTGGTGGCTGTGACCCACTTTTTTTTATGGCTGGTTTATATGTACATATATGCCCGATGTACATATGTTTGACGCTTGAACCTAAAAAACGATGGAATTATAAACAAATGCGTTCAAGAGTTTAGTACATAATGTGTTCTCCAGGTTTTTTGTTATCCTTGACTTCATATTTTAATCTTTTAGTTTTAATATATCTTACATATCTCATCAAATATTATATATATGCAAAGCATTAGTAGAGCTCTCCTGGGAAAAATCTGAGTACCTTACAATAAGAACACATTTTAAAGAATAAAAAATAATGCAGAAAACTTTACCTGAGCTTTCAGTTAAGAAAACATTTCAGTTTATCACCATTTACTGTGTTATTTTTACACTTTTTGTATTTTGTGTGACTTATGTGTGTATCTTTCCCCTTGGAGTCGCAGTTTAAGTTGCCGGCAAGCGCGAAGAATCCCTTGTAATCCGCTGGGGATCATAATTAAGCCACAATAACTTGTCATATTAAGCCTGCCCAACTTGCCATGGCAACCACTCATTTACACCTTTCCGCCGCTCTGTTTTTCTCCTTTCCAGGACTCGCTGTGGGTCTGCGCAATGTCAACGTTCGGATACCATCCGCCGTCAAGCGCGGCGATAATGCGCTCTTAATCTGCAATTATGACATCGAGAACGATACGCTTTATTCCGTAAAGTGGTACCGGGGACGGCGGGAGTTCTATCGCTACACACCGAAGGAGAATCCAGCCTGGAAGACGTTCAGGAAAACAAACGAAATAGACGTAGAGGTGAGTGTAGTTACCCAAATTAGCCATTGATAGTCAGGTTTTCCAAGATCATTGAAAGTCAGGCGAAGTAGAGGTTTTAAGAGCTCTTAAAGGATTTTATGTTGAACGACATTCAATGGCATGGAATTAAGGACAACATCCTTGTGGGCGGGAAAGTAAACATCGCTTCTGCTTTCGGTGTGCAAGCGTGCAGTACTGTTTGACTTCTGGTTGTTAAAAAGCTTTAATTAAGAATTTTGACCTTCCATTTTCTGTGTTGACTTTTGCGGGAGTTTCGATATTAAAAAGGACTGCAAAGAACAAAAAACACGCATGTAATGATTGATAAGAACAGCTTCAGTGAAGCAATAAAGCATGACAATTAAATTGTGAAAATTGTGCATAAACCAATGCCCTTAGGCATCAATTACATTTTCATTTTATAACTTTATATGAAACACAAGAGAGAGGTTGTTTCTGGGATTTAACTACATATATAATACTCTTCCAGACCGACCATTCGAATGCCAGTCATGTTTTCCTGCGAAATGTGCCCACCTCAATTTCGGGCAAGTTTGCCTGCGAAGTTTCCGCCGATGCCCCCGGCTTTGACACTTACATCGTTGCCGCCGACATGGAGGTGGTGGGTGAGTATTGAAAGGATAACCCCCGCACTCGACAGGATTTAATTGTCTCTTCGCTTCAGAGTTGCCCACCCAACGACCTATTATCACCGGCATCCATTCCCGCTACCGTTTGGGCGATGTGGTGAACGGAAACTGCTCATCGGACTACTCCAAGCCAGCGGCTAACCTCACCTGGTGGATCAACGATATACAGGTGCCTCCCAATTACCTACGCATCTACGACATCCAGCGTCATGTGGCCGAGCATCTCGAGTCGGCTGTCTTGGAGATCAACTTTGTGGTAACCGTGCATCACTTCATTAAGAGCCGCATGAAGGTGGGTGGTAACTGTCCATTATGAAACAAAAATATATTTAATAAATTATTTAAAAATTTGTAGCTCAAGTGCTCCGCCCGCATACATGATATCTATGCACAGGAGACCGAGAAAATAATTGAAGAGGATCGCCCCAGGATACTGGCGTCAGGACGTTCTCCCGACATTAATATGTTCCCCTTCGATCAGCCTGGCGGTGTAGATGAACACAACGAACTTTTCCTGATACATTCAAGTAAGTTTCAAGTATTTCCGATAGAAAAACCTTCGAAGGTTCAATTAATCCCTAAATACAAACTAAACCAATAGCGTTAATCAATATGTTCCATGATTAAGTTCCGGTCGTTAGTTGCTTGGCTTTATCTGCTAATGCTACTGTATCCGCTTAAAAATAGGCCCACAGATAGGCAAAAAGGGCCACGCCCAGTGGCAGAAAGCGGGAGGAGAAGCTACTGACCCAACTCGGCCTTGTGGTGAGGGTTGTACAAATCTCGACCCGATTGTTTTTACAACCAAAACAAATGCACAAGGGATACATTTACACGCACGCCATTACAATGAAAAACTGTGGGGCATTAAATCAAAGTTAGCGAAAAGGACCGAGCACCTTATTAGCCCTACTGCCGTCCCATCCCTGTGTGTTTTGGTTCTGCCCGGCATGGCAGCGATTTATTAATGCTCTGCGCTAAGCTGGAAGCAATTAATTCCAAGATTAATTTGACCAGCGGGTGCCCTTTCCGAGCCAGATTTCAATCTTTCGGATGTAGGTACTAAGCCAATCTCTATTTCTTTTGTTTCAGATGTGGCTGCTGCACGCTTCTCTAGCCCGACCCTGCTCCAGCTCCTGTGGCCCGGCCTATGCCTTGTGGGGGCCTGGGGGAATCTGAACAGGAACCTGGAGCGGTGATAAGCTGGCCACTGGCAGGAGAGAATGACTTCAAGAGGGGCTCCCGAGGGAATACCCGGCACGGGCTCAGCAATTATGGAACCCAAAATTAGCAAATCGCATAGCAAATCAACAGTGAAAGGTCCTCAGCAAACCGGATATACCTACTCATATACACCTATACCTAGCAAAAGACTCGAGGACTACTCTAACCCCCGTCAAATGTAAATAAACATAGAGCGCATCCTTTCACATATTCACATCGTCAGCCATATATCCTTACTCTCTAAGCAGAATTCGAAATGTTTGCTTTCGTTGGGTTCGTCAAGGATTTATTGTTAAGATTGTGGTTTCTAGGCAGATTCGTTACTCTGTTCGTCTGTGTCTGTTTCAAAAACTGTACAACTATTTAGCCATAGCATTAACCTTAGTGTGACCTTAAGTTGAGTGTGTGTATGAGAAAAACTAAAGAGCCAAATAAAGAATGTTTTATTTGATCACTACTTGGAAGTTTTTCTTTCCTTCAGAAGAAGGATCAAAATGGATAAGGTAAGGAATTATTTTTCAGTAATTCTCATTGTATCCCCATTTTGCAATTATTATTTAAAACTGCAGCCCGTGTGACCCCGACTTCTGAATTATTGCGGCGTCAGCGATAAAAATGAAGAAAACCAAGCTGGAGCACAGGCGAAATTCAAAGCTGGAGCACAAATGAAAAACTTGTAATTTACGTGACAAAAACAAGCGTCTGCCAGCGACAGAATCGGGCATTTGAGTCTCAGTATTTGGTAGAGGGCTGACACGAAAAACAGCGACACATGGGTGGTTTTTAGTGTGCGTTGCATCTGTGTGTTTTTCTGTCTCAAAAAAGGATTTTGGCAACACCCACCGAGCATCGCCGGGACAATCATCAGAGAGTGTGTGTTGGCCGGGCCTTTGTTGCTGCTGCTCGCAATTTCGCACTCGACTGAATCTGCATCCTGGATCTGTGAGCAGCCTCATCTTTGCTAAGCATCTGCATGCTGCACGGGTCGACACTGGGCGTGGCACCGTGCCACGAAATTTATTGTGCATGTGAGCTTGCATTTCTGGCTGCAGTGTGTAAGGGGTCCTGCCAGGGTGTTCCGAAAAGCAGAAGCAAACATTTTTAAGTTTTGATATTTTACACAAACCATAAACTATAAAATTTACAGGAAACATAATATAATTTGCCTGACGTTAGCATATTCATTAAATTAAGAACAACAATTTTCCAGCAAGAGTTTTTTGGAATAACCTCCCATTTTGCTTTTTCCTTTTTGCGATTTTGGAAAACTCAAACCTTCTCAAATGTGCTTGGGTGGGATTGCCTTTGCAGCCTGGCCAATTGCTTGATAATGACTTTTGGCAGCGGGCAAAAAGCAAGCTGCTGGTGCTGCTTAATGGACAATCAAAAACGCATTGAACTGGCAATTGCGGTTTGGCCACCGTATCCTTGTCAGCCACATTCTCAAAATTGATTTCCGTTTGCGGTCGCCTGCCAGCGTTAACTGGCCACGGACGACAGGCGTAGCCGTCAGGTGGAGTTTCCATTAAAACTGCACTCTGATTCTGAGGATTCAACGCGGTAATGGGAGCGACAGTTTGGGAAAGACGCAGGGTCGTCGTTTTTGGCCATGTCAAAGGCCCTTTCAGTTCCATTTTTGCCACCCTGCTTTCGAGTGAGGAAACATTCGGTATTTAGGTTTTCTAATTTTCTAAATACTTAACATACTGAACAATTACTCAGAAATCAGATGAAATATTGGAATATAAATTTCCTCTTTCTTATCCAAAAGGTACATGCATTATTTCCAGGAAATCCCAAAAGTATGCTACATAAAGTTCAAAAATTTTAATTTTTTTTTTATATTATATAAAAACTAATAGCAGATTAAATCCACAGGGTTCTTCTTTAAGATCGGCCTTCCATATGTTTATAATTTTTTTTTAGCACTTTTGATTTTAACAGTGCTTAGGTAAACATATGGGAATCGCTGCAACACTCACACACAAAATGTATAAAAATGTTGAAAATCTTTTAAAAAGGTTGTACATACATAGATATATACATAATTTGAAATAAATTAAATACAATTAGAAGTATTTTCTTTTTCAATAATATGATCATTGGATCATGAACGTTTCTTTTTTTAAATTATTTTCCTAATATCATGTTACCTTATTACCATCCTAATCATACCATTATAAGTAATCCTTTATATTTCTTCTTGAGCGTTGAATTTTGTTGAGTGTATCTGGTCAAGCACACAAACGTGTTCTTAAATAAATTTCGGAAATCACTTTTCAACTGGCACTCCATAAGACCGAAATAATTAGCCGCCGCCAACCCGATAAATAGACACTGCTCCGGCAGTGGAGGGCCAAGTGAACGTACAACTCACCTACGAGAATGAGGTGCGTCGGCTGTTGGTTTATTGTGGTCCTCCTTCTGGGAATCGGCGTCCTGAGGGCGAAAGCGCGTAAAGGAGTCGGGCCCGGGGAGCAGGACTGGGGCTACGTCGATGTCCGCGAGGGTGCACACATGTTCTACTGGCTATACTACACCACCGCGAACGTGAGCAGCTATACGGAACGACCGCTGATTCTGTGGCTCCAGGGCGGACCCGGAGGCCCCTCTACGGCGCTGGGAAACTTTGGCGAGCTTGGACCCGTAGACCAAAAGGGTGACCCGCGGGAAGGAAACTGGGCACAGCATGTCAACCTACTCTTCGTGGACAGTCCGGTGGGATCCGGCTTCAGTTACGTGGACAACACCAGCTTGATTGTTTCCAACAATGAGGAGCTGACAGACGACCTAATGACCTTCATGATGTACTTTTACAAGCAACACAAGGAGTTCAAGGCCGTGCCGCTGCACATTTTTACGGAGAGCTACGGCGGAAAAATGGCACCAGCGCTGGCCATCCGATTGGACGCAGCCATGAGTACCGGTGAGGTAGCCAACCCGGGCACCCTAAAGTCGATTACCCTCGGAAACCCTTGGATCTCTACACGACATATTTGTAAGGAGCACTCGCGGTACCTCTTCGTCAACGGGCTGATCGACGAGGATGGGGCGGCAAAGATAGATGCCCAGGAAGACAAGATCCTTAAGGCCCTGAAGGACCATGAGTTCGAGCAGGCCACGGATGCGTACATAGAGTATTATGATCTGATGCAGAATCTCACTGGCGAGGTGTTCCTCTACAACACTCAAACACATGTGGATCCGTCAGAGGATCGCACCTACGGCTACGGGGACGAGCTGACCAACTTCATGCAGGAGAATGTGAGCCAGGCTCTGCAGATCAACGGAAGTGTCTACGCCTCCCAGGTTCTGGATGTACTCACCAGCTTGCACGCAGATCGGCTCAGATCGGAAATAACTTTTAGTAAGTTTTCGGATAAGTATTCTCCACCCTTCAAACTCTATATTTTTGTAAAATTCCAAAATTATAAATTATTTTAGTTCCCTATTTACTTAACAAGACGTCCGTGAGGGTCAACATTTATTCCGGCCAATTGGACACTCTGGTGCCTACTGCAGCCACCTTGAATTTAATTAAGGACTGGTCCTGGACTAACAAGAGCGAATACCTGAATGCCGAACGAACTCCAATTGTGGTCAACGGAAGACTGCAGGGTTACAAAAAACGTGGGGGTCAGTTTGGGATGTACTGGATCAATAGGTCGGGACACTTGGTACCCAACGACAATCCGTCAGCGATGCAATTCGTTCTAAAAGACGTGACGGGATATGACAAGAACGACTCGCCCAAATAATGAAGCTCTAAACATCTTCGCCAAATATTTAGTCGAACGGATGTTAATCTTTAGAATTTTAAGAACTTAAGTGTAAACAAAATTCTAGGTGTGCATTCGTGGTCAATGTTTAATTTTGAGCGGCGAATAAACAAATTTTGTGCTTATAATGTGGTATACCTACTATTGTTACTAAATATGCATTAAATATTAAATTTTAACTATTTATATACTTTCTGAAAGTAAAAATTGTTGCTTGACTGTTGAAATATTTAATAAAAGTTTTATAAAATACATTTAATTTTATTATTGATTGGAAAGAAAGGGAAAATCCGCCAAAGAGTACATCGAGCTTTGAAGTATAAATGTTTCTAGCATCTTTTGAGTTTGTTTACCAGAACTCTGTGTATTTCGAAATTTATAAATAGCCAACGGCCAAGAAATGCGCCAGATCAGTGCGCATTTACCCTCAGACCGGGCGGTATATGTTTTAGTTTCACTTCTCGGTTAAGACAATTAAGACAATAGCGATGCCGTTCAGTGCCGATGCCACTCTAAGCAAAGCCTGGGTGTGTTCTATGCTGATTGTAGCGTCCCTGGCCTCAGTTCAAGGTTGGTATTCCAAAAACCAGAATAAAAGAAAAAACCATTCGTCCAATCTTCGATTACCCTGAGGATATGATCAGTAAATTCTTAACAGGGCGCTCTGGGTTAGGACCCGGCGAGCAAGAATGGGACTACGTGGAAGTACGACCGGGGGCTCACCTCTTCTATTGGCTCTTCTACACGACGGCAAATGTTAGTAGTTTCACGGAGAGACCACTTATCATCTGGCTACAGGGGGGACCGGGAGTGGCCTCCACTGGCACCGGAGTCTTCGAGCAGCTCGGACCGATCGACATTAAGGGGCGTCACCGGGAGAGCAGTTGGGTGCGGCATGCCAACGTGCTGTTTGTGGACAGCCCTGTGGGCACCGGGTTTGGGTATGTGGAGGAGCACGGCAGCTTTGCTAGGACCAATCGGCAAATAGCCCTAGATCTTGTACAGCTAATGCGAAAGTTCCTTCGAAAATACCCTCGCTTTCGCCACGTACCCCTGCACATATTCTCGGAAAGCTACGGCGGCAAGGTTGCTCCGGAGTTCGCCCTGGAATTGCATTTGGCCGGACAGAGGCACCAAGTCGACTGCCAATTGAAGTCGGTGGTGGTGGGCAACCCCTGGACCTCTCCTCTGGACAGCATCCTTTCATACGCGCCCTTCCTGCTTCAGTTGGGCATCGTAGACGAAAGTGGCTACCGCACCATTTCCAAGCTGGCCGGCGAGCTGGCCGGACATGTGTATGCCGGAATGTGGTTCCGTGCCCTGATGAAGGTATCCGACGTTCAAAAGGCGATCACTGACAGCACGGGCGGCGTTTTTATTTATAACACCCAGCGCCGGGTCCACGTCGACGAGGAGTACCGGTACGGTGAGGACCCGGAGATGAGCGAATTTGTCCGAACGAATGTCACTCGGGCTCTGGGACTGGAAAACATGCCCGGGTGGATGGAGCAGAATGGAACGGTCTTCAATACTCTCTGCCATGACATCATCAAGCCAGCCACAAAAATAGGTAGCATTTATATTAAACATGTATTTAAAACGGCTTTTCATATTTAAGTGAGCATTTCAGTTACCAGGCTGCTTAACGAGACCGAAATTCAGGTAGGTATATACTCCGGAATCCTGGACCTGCTTTGTGCCACTCCAGGAACCATTAACTGGATTGGGAGGTTGATGTGGAGCCGCCGCATGGAGTATTCTGAAGCACCGCGGACCCCTTTCCGAATCAACGGGATACTTGAAGGATATGAAAAGCATGGTGGGAAGCTCAGTATGTTTTGGGTCTTTCGGGCAGGACATCTTGTACAACAGGATAACCCAGCGGCAATGGGTTATATTTTAAAATACTTTACAAAATTTGGATAGGATTTAAAAATGAGTAATGTATAGTAAAGTTTAGTCAGATTTAATATATACATACATTTAAAAGAAGATTCAAGAACCAAGTAATTTTTTAACATTCTTTAAAAAAAATCTAATGATTTTAAAAGACAAATAAACTATTTATAATTAGCTTGAGACTCTATAAATTTTATAAAATATTTCTGTAATTTATTGTTCTCTGAATAACCAAGGGCAGTGGCCAGTATCTGAGTTTCTGTGAAACATATATTAAAATGTGAAAATTCTACTAATTAATGCAAGTAGCTTCATATGGCTGCCAACTAAATGCCATAATTCTCGAGTCAAGGCCACAAGCCACACACACATAGTCGCACCAGTCAGATGGAGCAAACAATTTTCTAACAATTTACTCAAAATTAACTGAATTTCGGTTGCCAGTCGCCGCAGCCTCTCATCTCTCAGTTTTCGGGTTGGGATGCGGTTGGCCGCATCACACGGACAGACATTCGTCTGGCTCAGACGGCCCTATTGTTAAAGCGTTTTACAGGTGCACCGCATCAATTTATTTTCCACACAAAAGCCTATTAAAAGTCTTACACACTTGGGCATTGATGAGTGGCTGGGGGCACTTCCCGCTCGGGTCTGGCATGGCCTGGCCCAGTGCCTGGGGTCTGGGTCTGGGTAAATGTTTGCCAAATGAAACCACTTAACCTTTTTTTTCGCCTGCGCCGAAAGAAAAATGGGAACAGAAGTAGCGGGCTCGGGAGAGATTGCCGCCCGAGAAGGGGGACCGCAGCAAAACAAATTAATTAAAAACTTAAAAGTTTGTCTACGGCAACGCCCCAATTGGGTGGAATGAAGGAGTATTCCGGAAACAAGGGCCGGAAACACGCTGAGTCAGGACCTTTTGTCAAGGTTCATCTGAAGGCGTACCAAAAAAGGGAAATTGATTTGGCTGGATGCGTTTTGGCTTCCCAAAGAAGCACTTCAAAGTTTCAAGTTTGAGCCAGAGTCTTGCCAGAGAGACAAGGATCCAGATATTTTTTTTTTATATCCAAGAAGTACATACGTACAGCTTAAAGATAACCAAGCTTACAATTAGGTTCATTCGTGGAATCATATGTTAACCAGTTATCTTATATCCCTTTGACCGGAAATGTAATTTGATTAGTACTTCCGGTCGAACTCCATATGGAGTGCAGTGACAAATATGACTACAAATTAAATTTTTCTATACACCCACACGTCTGTTTGCCATCAACAACTAATTAGGAAATACTTAGGAGGGGGAAATAAAATAAAGAGGACCACCAAAGGCGGCTAGATAGATTGTAATTGAAGTAGATGGTTTTTCGTTCGCGTTCCACACGAACCGTGCTCCGTCACGTCAGGTCTCGAGTAATTTTCACACAACTTAGCGGCACATATCGTGCATATTAATTATAGGCAAATCTGCAAATTAGATTTGCGCGCCCATACCCACACCTACATAACATTCTACCCTGCAGTTGCCATTACCACGCCAAGTCAGAGCTATGAGTCACGTAGAAGGGACCCCGAGTAACCCGGGTCGCTGGAAGCCCCTGCACGTATGCCAAGGGATCCGAACAGGTTAGGGCAAAGTGGGATGTGTGGCTGCCACGTCTCACGAATCAGGATCAAGGCGAATGCTATTGTAGCCATGTCAAATATTTATAGGTAAGCATGCCAAGATTTACCTCGAAGCTCACAAATTGCTTCGGTGCGTCGTCTAGGAGCAAAATAAATTAAATGCCTGCTGAAAACAAAGGAAATTCCGGGCATGAAAAATATGGCTGCCTCCTTGGAAAGTGCTTTGGCGAGATGTGAGAGAAAATTAAAGAAAGCAAAGGTGAAAAAATGGTATCTAATTAGTAAACAGTCAACTGCAGATGTGGTTGGCAGTTTTTTTTCTTCAAGACAAAAACAAACAAATTATTAGCTGTCGGACCACCTATTCATTCAATTACTTTTGATAAACGCACTTGTGCCATTCTCACATTAATTATAACGTAACATGAGCAAAGAATTTGTTTATTAAAAAATGTTTAAATAATTGGAGATAGTATACGCATTTAATATTCTCAATATTCTATATGGAGTTCATTTTGGCTTTGCAATAGCAGGATACATTGTACTCGTCGAGCAAATATTCCATTCTTCTGAAAAAGCACTCACACTTTTCGCCACAAAATGTTTCCGACGTGCTGTCCATGGATTCGATGTTTTGCCAAATTGGCCATTTACTGATATGATCAGCGACATCTTCGCAGAAGTCTCTAGTTTTTTTCCTTTCTTTTTCTATTATATGGTTACGCAGTTGTTGTAATTTTTCTAAATAAAGAAATAGTTTTAATTTTACTGTACACAATTAGTATTTCTATACAAGATTACTAACGGAGTGCCTTGGCACGAAGATGCTCCCTCAATTTGCTATTTTGTTGGAAGGTCTCGTACCCGAAGATTATGTCGTGGTAGCACTCGTCAATGTCAGTTTCCACTAATCTCATATCGTTAGTGACGCCCTCGGAACACATTTCAAAAAAGTTCGGCCCTGCAAAGGGCACCTCAAAGAAAAAATCTGCTCTCTTGAAATATCGACATTGCTCATCCTTATACGACGTTCTGCGAGCCACCAGGGAAAGTACCCTCGCGTTGTGGAAGCGGAAACCCAACATGGCAATAATCCTTTCAACCTTTGAAAGAAGTCTGAAGAAAATACCAAAAATTGATTATTTCTTGAATTCATATTTAGTTAATAGGCTTTCCCAAGTAAATTGCTTTACAAAACAAACTGAGTTATAAGTTCCAATGAAACCTTTGTATATAAATGGAAAATCCGTAGAAAAATGTGTGGCCCCCGTAAGGAATCCCTAGAACATTCCCGAAACATCACCTGGAGTGTCTTAAAGATTCTGTGCCAGCGATGAATCCCGCAGCTTTTATCCTGCGCATCTCAACTGCCAAGGAGTGAAGAAGTTCCTCGACGGCATCCTTCTGTGATCGTCTTAGTTTGTTGTCATCGTGGACGTTCCGTCGATCGCGCCAGCCCCGGAACAAAGCTTGAATCGTGTTCGACGCTCGTTGAAAATGGTCGAGAACTGTCTTCTGCAGGAGCAGTTCCATGTGAAGCGACTGCTGGCTTCGCATCCAAAAGCCACGCCACCAACGCTGTATGGTAATTGCTGCCTGCTGGCGTTGGTGGAGCAGCTTCTGGACGCGAAACTGCCGCCAATGTGCCTGGATGCGCCTCGCGGCGAGGTACATTTTGTAGTCGAGCATATGATGGGCGGTCCTAGGCGGAAGTGGATCATATTTCTGGAATCATTAATTGCATCTGGTCTCACCTTGACAACTTCACCTCCAAGGGCCACTCGGAACTGGCCTCGCACTCCACGTCTGAATATCTAAACCACGATATGGGATTTAGTTCCAGTTAGATAATACAAGTACCACTTACCCTGGGCCCAGTTCTTCCTCAATTAGTTCCTCACCATGTGGAGTGGTGGGTTGAACGACCAACTGAATCTTATGTCGGAACATCAGTGTTATGGGTTTAAACTAAGCAGTGTAAGGTGTGTGTGTTGCAGCAACTCTGAAAAAAAACTAACGTGTAGTTTCAACAATCATTCTGAGTAGTGTTAAAATAAATTTAAATTAGTTTCTCCAGCTGTCAAGAGAGAAACTTACTAGAAATGTAGACAAAAAATATTCGAAATATAAGATATCAATATTTTTAAAAGCTAACAGTTGTTGTTTACAATCTTGTTTGTAAAGAAATAAAATAAAAATAAAATAATATAATAAACAAGGTGTTGTATATATAAAGGTACGAAATTAGAATATTATATGAAAATATTCTTTGGGGTTTTAATTACAAATTTATTTCGATAACTATATTTCTACTCAACAAATTTTAAATTGATAAAAGAAGTATTTAAGCGTTTTGTAGAACCCTTAAAGTTTCTTGTACGATGGCTCTGAACAAAATGGCAGCACACTTGGCTCGCCGCAAAGTATGCAATCAATTTTTATAGTCCACATGCAGCACCCAAAAGCCTCCACCTCCATGATACCACCACCTCACAGGAAGGCTGATGCTGCAATGTTTCACTAATAATTTTCAATATAATCAGCACCTGTGACGACAAGGCTGCTGCTGCCACAAATGCTGCTAATGTACAAACATTTGTGCGTTGCTGAGTGTCTGTTCAAAGTAAAAGAGTAAAAGTAAAAAATGTTAAATGCTCCGCAGGGCTTCTATCGGCGGGGTGCGACATCAAAATAGAATAGGTGGGGTCCTGTGGATCCTGGATGCGGCCCGTAATGCGTTGCGCCGGCGTTAATTTCACCACATGCGGTTATGGTTCTGGCTGTTGCGGTATATGCATGGGCATGGGTATATACCCGTGCTGCAAAAGAGAGACGATGTGTTTTGCACTGAGCGAAGAGTAATCCTGGTAGCAAATCACTCTATTTATGATCAGAGAAAACCAATTTATAGATACGTTTCAGTGCAATATAAAATATTTCTACATAATGGAAACAGTTAGAAAGTTAGGAAGGGGAAAAAAATAAAATTATAATTTATACATAATACATACATAATACACTTAATTATATATATAATACAATTAATTCTAGGAACTGATAATACCTTCTTCTTGGAAAATAATATGGGTTTTCGCAATCATTCTTATCAGCAGAAGAAAGCCAAGAGTCATGTATAAAAACCCAGCCACGAAACAGTCTGATGGATTCGTTCTTTTCGTTTCATACAAATCGGTTGCTAAATTAATGCAACAAAACTGAGTAAAATAATCCGTTAAATATGTGTATGTGGCTGCTAGGGATTTTGATCCTTCCATATGTGTCCGGTATCAACGGCAATGGGTTAGTTAAAGCAAAATATATTCTAAATATTCCAATTATTATAAATTTGGTAAAAAAAACCAAATAAACCAATTACCAAGATTTTGGAAAGTGCAGTGTGTGTCCCTCTACTCTGGATAAGGCTCCGGAATAAAAAGTGACTTTCTGGCTTTTAAGAAAGCGATTAGTGAATACGCTGTGTTTTTCACATTGGGAATAGCCCAGAACTGATAAGACTTTTTCTTTTACTAATAAGACTAAAATCAAAAATTAAAAAAGTTTCATGCATTATTTTAATACGAATTCACTTCTTGTTCTTATCAATTATTTAGCATATACTCGGTTATGGTTCCTGACACAATAAGATCGCACATGACCTTTAACGTGGGTGTTTCCCTGCACAGTGCCAGTGGAGATTGTAATATCGTTGCCACTCTTAGTGGCCCCTCGTATCAAAAGACCGAGAGGATTCAAATCGAGCCCATGACTACAAAGGCCATTCCTTTCAAAGTGGATCAACTGCCTGAAGGTGATTATCAGCTCACCGTAGAAGGGTCAGGTAGTGTCGAGTTCAAAAAGGTTGCGAAGCTTAAAACCGTCGTCGAGAAGCCCTCGATCTATGTCCAGACAGATAAGGCTACCTACAAGCCGGAAGATCTCGTTCAGTTCCGAGTACTATTTTTAGATAGATATATGAAAGCCACCACAATCCAAAAACCCATTACCATATCCATCGCCGATGGAGCTCAAAACCGTATCCAACAATGGACCGACATCACACCAGTTAATGGAGTATTCTCGGGAGAGCTTCCGCTCTCTGATCAGCCTGTACTGGGCACCTGGCAGCTTACTGTCTCGATTCAGAACGAAACCTTGGAGAAGAAATCCTTCGAGGTAGACAAATACGTGCTGCCCAAGTTTCAAGTGATTGTCAAGACAGAAGAGAACATATTGGCTACCGCTGGAAATATCAAAGCATCAATCACAGCAAAATATACATTCGGCAAGGGGGTCAAGGGAATGGCCACCATATCCATCGAAGGGAGCTCCCAGGCACATACTATCGACATTAACGGCAAAGTCAGTTTTAAGATTCCATTCGTCGCCAGTATGAAATCACCCTTGAAGGTCGTGGCAGTGGTCACCGAGGACCTCACTGACCTCAGTCAGAACGGGTCCGCTTATGTAACCCTCCACCAGTACCGATACCGACTGGAGTCTTACCAATGGCCAACCAGTTTCAGGCCACAGCAGGAGCTTAACTTTCCCGTTGTGGTTAAGCATTTAAATGATTCGGCCGTCACTGGCTTGAATAAAAATGTTAACTACACCGTCTCCTGTTGCGGTATGCAACGCTTTACCGAAGCGCCGATCATAAACGGCATAGCCACCGGAACGAAGTTAATGCCCGACATAAGATGCAGTGTTTGCCACGTAATTGCTACCTTAGAGAACTCAGCGAGACTTAACGAATCAATTTATAAAGAACAAAAATCTTTTCGTATTGAGATTAACAATTTAAAGTGAGTATTCTTAGGATTCATTCTCGAGCGTATCTTAAATTAATTTTTGTATTTAGACGGCCCAAGTTGAATGAAAGACTACAATTCAATGTGGTGTCCGAAACACCTATTACGAGGTTTTTGCTCACGATCGTCGCCAGGGGTACTATCGTATCCAACTCCTACCTTTCAATGAAATCGAACCCGAGATATAGGACTGTAAAGATGAGCGTTTTATTCAGCATGATTCCGGAAGCCACGTTCTATGTCTACAGCTTTGAGGGCGAGGAAATGAGAATGGATATGAAGACAGTCACTTTTGAGAAGGATTTCGGCAACTCGGTATGCATTCTGAATGATTCGTCTTTTCGATTTATTATTTTTTTTATAACTTTCCAGATCCAAATAGCAGCGCCAGATACCGTTCAACCCGGAGAAAATGTTACATTGACGGTAAAGACCCAACCCAAATCCTTTGTGGGACTCCTTGGAGTGGATCAAAGTGTTCGACTGCTCAGGGGAGGAAACGACCTGAGTCCGGATAAAATATTTAGCGATCTTGGCACTCACGGAACTTCTGGCCTTATCATTTTAACGAACGCTAACTTAAAAAGCGATATTATCCATGGTAAGTCTTACAAAAAAGAAATTCTAAAATTCGAAGCTAATTTTATTTTTTTTTTTTTAGAGGACTGCCGGGATGGAGGTGAGTTTTGTAATTTGATTTTAAGAAATTATGAATAATATAATTATGAATATAACAATTATTAAGAATATATTAATCTTTTTATTAGAGTATTGCCATAACGGCTTTTCCACAAGTGATAAATTTAAAACAAGCAAAGGTAAGCCAAGTAATATTTAAACACAGTCTCTGTTATATGAACTATCTCTCCAAAATTAGGGGACATCATGATTCCGGCTCGTTCTCCCTCATCAACCTCATCTGAAACATCTAATCCAACACCCCGAAAACACTTTCCGGAGACTTGGCTCTTCGAGAACATAACCGAGTAAGAAAATGTTTTTTAACTATCCATGAACTACTTATGTATATACTTTGCATTGCTAGGATGCAAGACGGTGTGGCATATCTAGAGCGAAAGATTCCTGATACCATTACCTCCTGGATGATAACTGGATTCTCCTTGAATCCAGACACCGGTATTGCCTTGACCAAAGAAGCTACGAAAATTCGAGCATTTAAGCCATTTTTTGTATCTACAAACCTGCCATACTCTGTTAAGCGCGGTAAGTTATTTATAACTATTTTAAAATAATACTGAGCTTTTATCATTAAAACTTTTCGAAAACGCAGGAGAAATCATTGTCATTCCAGTGATAGTGTTTAACTACATGGACGAGACAGCCAAAACGAAGGTATCGATGGACAACTCCGATGAGGAGTACGACTTCGCCGAAGCTTCCAGTTCCAATGCCCAGTCAAATCTGAAGAGAGAGAAGCAATTAAGGATTGCACCCAACAGTGGCAAGAGTATCACATTCATGATTCGGCCCAAGAACGTGGGTTTGACCATCCTCAAGATCTCCGCCATTTCACAATTGGCCGGTGATGCTATTGAACAGCCCCTCAAGGTTGAGGCTGACGGCGTCACAAAGTACGTAAACCAACCGTTTTTGATAAATCTGGCTCGGGGAAGGAGTACTACAACATCAGGTTGGGAATTGGAAAAGGAGTTGATAGTGGATATACCTAAGGACGCGGTGCCCGGCTCAGTGTACGCCAATGTTGCAGTGGGTGGCGATATCCAAGCGCCTGTCATAAATGGTTTGGGCAAAATGGTTAACATGCCCTTTGGATGCGGTGAACAGAACATGATTAATTTCGTACCCAATATTCTGGTACTTCGGTATCTTGACGCGACTGGCCGATCGGATCCACAACTGGCGGTATTAGCTGGAAAATATCTAACAACCGGCTATCAGCGAGAGCTGAAATACAAGCACGCTAACGGCGCCTTCAGCACCTGGGGTAGTGGTGAGGGAATCACCTGGCTAACAGCTTACGTAATTCGTTCCTTTATCTTGGCCAAGCCGTACACCTACGTAGATCCTGGAGTCTTAAGGAACGGCCTTAATTTCCTTGCTTCAAGGGCTTCGAATACTGGCGCGTTCTTCGAACGAGGTCGCCTCGTGGACTTCAAGGCCTCAGACCCCCTTGCTCTAACTTCATTTGTGTTGCTGACTTTCCTCGAGAACAAGGTGAGTTTTTACAACATACTCAAATACCATTGATAATATATTTCATTAATTTCTTGGCCAGGATATTGCGGAATACAGTTATGTGATTAGCAAGGCCGTCAGATATGTGGCTAGTGAGGCGGGAAAGTCTCGTAACGAATTTAGTTTGTCAATCGCCGCTTTAGCACTACAAATGAACAAACATGAGAAGGGAGAAGTCATTTTAAACAGGCTGGACTCCATGGCCATTCGACAGAACGGAATGATGTGGTGGTCAACCGGCGTCGAGACCACTGCCTACGTGTTGCTGGCCATGTTGGAAAATGGAATGAGTCACAACCCAAAATCCGTGGCAGATTGGCTGATTCAACAGCGAAACAGCAATGGAGGATTCGGTTCCTCCCAGGATACGGTGGTGGCCCTGCACGCCCTCACCAAGTACTCAATCTTGATCAAAACGGAGAAACCAAAGATGGTTATTGAGGTGGCTGCACCATCCATGCCGCCAGCGAAAATTGACGTAAATCCTGAAAATGCATTACATGTGCACAACTACCAGATCCCAAAACATAAATATAAGGCCATGTTCAGGGCAGCTGGCCAAGGTGCAGCAATGGGCCAGGTCTCGATCCAATACAACGAGGCCCAAAGAAAGCCTCATGCCAGCTTGAAAATCACTCCAACTGTAGAAAGCCAATCGAATCACCAGATGGTGCTTCGCGTCTGCGGTGAATACACTCCTCTCGACCAGGCCAAGCAGCATACCAACATGGTCCTCATGGAGATCCAGCTTCCTTCCGGCTACGAGATTGATGACAATGAATTGACCAAAATTAAGTCCTCCGACGGGGTTAGGCTTGCGGAAACCAAGAACGAGGACACTCAGGTGATCGTCTACTTCGACAGTTTGTATTCGCATCAACCGATCTGCGTGATAGTGACAGCAGCCCGACTCCACGCGGTGGCAGATCAAAAATCCTCCTACGTCAAGCTATACGATTACTATATCCCGAGCCTCAGTACCGTGGAGAAGTACGATGTTAAAAACTCCTTTTGCGACATCTGCAAGGGCGCCGACTGCGGCAAAGAATGTTAAATTTTATGTTTTGTATCGTTCTTCCTAAAAAAAATAACAATAAAACCAATTGCCATTAATGATTGCAACGAAAGGTGCCAACATCCTTATTTTTATTCCTCAAATATCATTCATGTTGTTCGAAATAGAATTGGATTAAGGATTTTAATTTTAAAATTCCCCGTCACGCATTAGGTGCTCATTAATCCATTCACGATTTCTTTTATCGTTAGCAAAAACGGGTTGTTTTTTCTCGTCGGTAATGTAGCTCCATATTCCCACTACAAAGTATTTGTTCCTCTCGTTGGGACAGACAAGAGGTGATCCCATAAAATTCAAGCGCCTGGAGAGGCTGACTCTTAACTTGATGCTTCCATCCCAATCACTTTTAGATGTCTTCGTGGTGTCTACGTCCATCTTAAAAACAATATTTCTTGCTGACGGTATTCTAGCAGATTTCATTACATTCCATCCTACGACAAAGCAGCTAGTGTTAAGTATCGAGGTGCCAAGATCATCGTATTTGCAGACGGAAACTATGTGCCTTGTACGCGGAAAGGCGCTCTCCAGGGTAGCCATGGCCAAGTTATGCACAATGGTTTTCTTGACTAAGCGATCTTCGTGCGGGACTATCTCGTTGTCTGTTAGATGGTCCCAGTCGCCAGAAAACAGGAAGCTGCCGACAGAACCTCCGTGTGACTTATCGGGACACCGTTGCATATGGGATTCGATTCCAAGTCCAGAATGGTTACCACGAAGGGATACTCCGCAAAGCTAGCCTCATTGCCACGGCTTTTCACAGTCATATAAAGGCAGTACACATTGGTAATCCCGCACTGATTATTCGTTAAATTGACTTCACGTGGAGATGGCTGGAAAATCAAAAAAATTAGTTTTAAAAATTTTTTAAATTTTCTAACTAACCTAACCACTTTTAAAATATGTAAAAAGATATATATATTTTTCTGAACTGAAGGCAACTATGGTTTTTTGTACTATAATGCTTACGGATTTCTTAATTTCGCTTTCTTTGCAGCAAGTTTCCAAATAATGACACACTACTTCGGGTCTATCTAATTCAAGAATTATTGGTCCAGTACGACTATGATACCACACTCGTTTAGTTTTACACAGTATTCGGTTCTGTTAAATCCACACTGCTCTCTATATATCGGTGCTTCAGTGCTTGTGGTTGTTGTTGTGGTTGTAGATGGAAGATCTTGGGGTCCGATGTCTAGATCATAATCATCATAATCAGTGGGCGTCAAAGTGGGTGGGGCTTTCGTGGTTGTTGTTGTATCATCTTTATTTCCAAAAGAAAATCTAAAAGATTTACGTGTAATAAAATTAATAGCAACACAACTTGGATTTTAGCTTTTCTCATTTTTATTTTTTTGCTAAATTTCTCTAAAAAAAAATAAATATTAACAAATCGGACTGAGTGATTTCGGACAACTGGTTTGCAGCAAGAAATTTCCATTCCAATTTTAAATTATTTCAAAATAAAACACTTGACGCCCCGATTTTAATTTCAATTTAAAAGAAGTATTGATAAGATACTACAAAAAATCACTCTAAAAAAAGTTCCATAAAAGTAATCATTTTCAATTGGCGTCTTAACCAAATTCTAAAGCAAGACATATGTACAGCTTTACCCTTAAAATAAAAAAATGGAAAATTTTATCCATAAAATGGTGCGCCTCTCAGGTTTTTTTTGTGTATTTTTATTTCGAAAAATCAAAGCATCGCGTGGATATAAGATTAGGGTATAACACATTGAACATGATTATTGTGACGATGTTTGGAAATGCCAATATTGTGCAACTTCTTAAGAAAGTCTGCATATTCTTAGAAAAATCATGACTTAATTCTCAGAAAGAAGATTATGTATTATTTTTAGTCACCCCTGTTTCATTATCAGCGGCCTGTTGATAACGTCTCGTCGTCTTTCGTCTCATGTTTCATTGCTTTTTTAATTCTCGACATCAGTTTCATTTTGGCTCTCCATAGTGTAATGAATTTCATATTATGTCTGTCGCTGTTGCTAATATTGAGTTCTGCTTTCTGGAACAGAGTGTCAAGTCAAGTAAAGTTTTGTGAAACAATTAGCATGCAGCCATAAAGAAGATTTCCCACAGGTATTACACACGGAATGCGGGGCCTATGATGCAAACGGGATGGACTTTTCAGGATCTTACCAAGAAAAGGAGACAAGGCCGGGCCAATACCCATGGGTAATCGCCGTTCTGGACCACAGGGACTCTCTGACTCGCTACATAGGTGGAGGGTCCCTAATTTCATTCAGTGTGGTGCTTACTGCAGTTCAAGTACTTCAAGACGCCGACGATGCCGATCTTCTGGTGCGCGCGGGAGAGTGGAATGTTTCGACGACGTCTGAAAGTTATCCCCACGTAGACCGTCAGGTCAAAAGGATAGTCAGACACGATCAATTCAATAAGAAAACTGGAGACAACGATGTGGCTCTGCTCTTTCTCACAGCGCCCTTCCCCGCCCAGCCAAATATCCGGCCAGTATGCCTGGCAGACGAAAACAGCGACTTCGGGGGCTGCTTTTACAATGGCTGGGGAATGGAGCAGACAACCTCTATGGAATACCCTAGTGTCTTAAAGAAAGTCCGCATAAATCTAAAGAACAATCTAAGTAGTAGGTATATTTCTGATTATTTCATTCTCGGCCAAGCCAGAAAAAGAAGCATTGGCTGCAAGGGCGACAGTGGCTCGCCCCTGGTCTGCTCAGTACCCAGAAACCCTAATCAATTTAGGCAGGTTGGCATCCTAATTTGTGGCAATGATGGGCGTCCAAGTGTCTTCACAAATGTTGCAAAGTTTCAACCATGGATCAATAGAAAACTGGAAGACATAGGTCAAAACTATTAAGCTGAAGAGATAATTAACATTTTGAATAAAGAACGAATAAATGAATAATTTTTTTGCTCTAAAACTGGCATGTTGGGAAATTCCTTCTATAATCATGCATATAAACCCCCTGGTAGTTTGGACATATTACATCTCAGCAAGGAGTAGGAGCAAGGAGCAACTGCCAACAAGGACTCCTTGCAATTGAAGGGGACGCCTTCTAATAAACATTAAGTTGACATGAAATGCGCGCCAAACAAATGAAGCAAGTGCATTTCATCCCAGGCGAAGGTGGGTGTGCCCAGATGCTGTCTAAAGCCGTCCTTTCAGACCGGTTTTTTTGCGCCGACACCGCAGGATATGTTTACAAATTGAAAAATATAGCCTGCGACTGGAAGAACGTGCAGCAAGAACTGCACAGTGGAAAGAGCTTATACAAATTTTCATAAGTTTTATAAAATAATTTATAAACTATAAGCTAAAAGCTATAAGAACTTTAAAAATTACCATTTAAAATTTTTTTTAAATACATATTCTTCTGGCACATCTGGATTTTGGAACATTTCATGGGTCAGTTGGTTGGGAAAATAGAGAAGACTCCTATAAGTGGACCGTCGACGTGCCGCGTACACAACTCTTTACACTAATGCAGAAATATATATGTATAATGGTTTCCACGGAGAATACGCCATAGCTAGGTAATATATATGTAACTTGAAATGAATATTTCCTGCAGAAAAGTAGCCGGAGCTGGGAAAATCTGACACGAAACATTTGCGTGACAAGCAAAATGTTGGCACATCCGGGGACCACATCCAACAGACTTCCAAAGGGGGTATGACGGGGTCGGCAATGGGCATTTACGTCCAGTGCATTTCAGAGGGAACCAGAAAAATAATTATGCCCCAAATCACAATAATGCTATAGGAGAAAGGGGCACAGAAACATAAAAAAGAACGCTAACAAATTAGGAGCGCTAGCACAGAAAACGAGTGGGCAGTGGCAGTGTCAGAAGCAGGGCGGTTAGCCGCAGGATATTTCTGCAATTTTCTGCAACCATGACATTGAAAATAAACTTCATGGGTTGAGGGAATGCGCAAATTGCATACACTTTAAACTATCAGAATATTACAGAAATTTTGGATATTTAATGGCGTTATTATTACCATTGATAATACTTGATTTATAACTCAGGATACTTATATTTAAAACTTGCAAATATATTTTTCAAAAAATTTTAATTTCAATCATTTTATTGTCTTGGGTTTTTGCTATTTAGTATCTTGAATTAAACACAAAAACGGCTAACAAACAGAGGCTTCATAAAACTCTACTTTGAGAATGTCAGAATGACAACAATTAAATTTTCTTCTGTCTGCCGCCGCAATCAGAAAGCCTCCTCTCACCTACGTAGATGTCGCCGCATTGCGAAATTGTTGACAGAATTCAAATCAATGCCCACAGGGTGGAATTTCTGCAGCCACTGATGATGGTGATGAGGACGTCTGTACGAGTGTAGTCTTTGTCATAAATGTCACTTTCAATTTCGTTTGGCTGGCGTGCCGGGGTCGGTGGGTTCGATTAAAGCGTGTTTTGAATGACAAATTAGCTAAATTCAGTGCGACTCTATTTTGCCATCTTGCCTTCAGAGGAAACTCAAATTTAATTATGTCATTGCATCGGCCTGATGTGGATTCAATCAGCTGATAAATGTGAGCGTAATATAAAATATTTAAGTATGACGTGTAGAAAAGTCAAGAAATAAATTCAATAAAAGATCTTAAGGTGGTGTTCTCCAATAATAAATAGCTTTCTATGCATGACATTAAAGACTGGCATCGGTGTGATGAAGAGCTCACTTGCTGTCCAAAACCCATTGATCCTTTTACCGCGAATGCAGCCCAAACTGAAAATGTCTGGGCCGGCAATGAGTGCTTCCTACTTCCTGTTTCCTGCTTCCGCCATCCCGACTGTCTTCAGACAACTGTACAAGCAACTATAACTGTCGGCAAGTTGGCTTTATTATTTCCACGCTGTTGAATATGCATATAAAAAGCGAATCTGCCACCGGGAGGGGCGGCTCCCAACTTTGGGTAGCTTTGATAACTAGTGGCTCGCCCACTTTAGTCCTTCGGGCCATGGGCGGTTCGGTTGTCCTCGGTCCTTTGTAGCTCTGCCAAAGGCCAAGGCAGCCCTGGAGAGAGGCAGTCCCCAGTTGAGCAGCCTGGGGCGGGTGCATTATCACTTGCCAGCCGAGCAAAATGTTGTGGGTGCATTAAATATTTTCCCCCCCTTTCGACCGCAAGACAAAAGAAACGCTTTACCAACCTCGGAGGCAGAGGGCCAGGCCAAGAGCATGTCCGAGCCGACCGAACTATGCCGGCCCCAGATGAGATGAGCGAAGGGCTACCCAGTCCGGGCCTTTGTCTGGGCTTTATATTAAACTATTTATGCCATCGCAGCAGCCGGTCCTCGGATCCCGGCCACCGGATCTCGAGGAGTCTCGGCTCGTTGGCGCTGCCAAGAATCGACTCGAAAATTTACCTACAGCAACTGAGTCCGTGTGCCGCATTCTCCGGGTGAAACATTTTGCGGGGAATTTATGAAAAATTTAAGGCAATTATGTGGCTTTGAGCGCAAAATCTCGAAGCTGTTGCGGAAAGAAGGAGGGATGGTCATTGATCACTTGGCTGGTCAGTTTGCGGCACAAGAAATTGTTCGTGGCATTCTGTGGGCAAAGTCCGAGGAGAAATACCAACTATGCCTTGGTATATATTGCTTCTTTAAAATTCGTTGGAAAGATTAAAAAACCTCGCCCTCGGGCGATGACTTAGTTCGGCAATCATTGGAAAATTCCGAGAGCAGAGCTGGACCTTCTGTAACCCGGTTGAGAACAGTTCCATCCTTCGAAAAGGGTCCATGGTGTGAAGCATTTTCTATTTCAAATGGAAAATGTTAACAAGATTTTCCTAATCCCCCAATGACTCATTTCGGTCAATTAAAAATTATCGCTAAGCCAGAAAAATGTTGCCAGTAAATCTTTCCGCCTGGGCGCCTCTTGCCAATAACTGATTCCACTTCCGTTTTGCATCTATGATGCATTTTCATGACCGGAAGTGGTGGTAAATGTTGCGGCATAGACAAAATTTTCCGTCGGTTGTACGGGGACAGCAATGGGAGCCAAAAACCCTAATTAGCCCGCTGCAACCCGAAATCCAATTGCCATGATAATTGTTCTTTCGGCCAGTCGTGAAATGGAAATTTTCGGGCAAAAGTCTTTGTTGGAAATCAATTGGCAGGCTCTTAAACAGTATCTATGCATGTAAATGGGCGTGTCGGTTATTTTGACAGTAGCTGTCAGTGTTGCATTTAGTTGGGGCAAGGATCCTATCCAAAGTATACAAACGAGAATACATCCAGCTTCCTTTTCTTTTGGGGAAAGGCTGAGGCAGGAGGTCGACCATGATGATACTCATATCTCTGCTGCAGCGAATGCAAGCTCTTCTACTCGACTGCCCTGCCACTTCCGCATCCGCATCCGAATTCGCACCCCCACCCATACATACACACAGCCAAAGCCGCATCCACACCCACACTCACATCCACATCCACACCCTCAACCCGCATCCGCATAGAGAATAGTTTTTCTTTGGCTTCTCTCATTTTTCATGCGCGCCAGCTAAGCTTTTAATTAAATGCAAGAAAATTCAATTTTAATTAAAATTTCTCAAAAGTCTCTGGCCCGGCATTGCTGCGGATAGTGCAGCGATTGAATTGGTATGGGGCCTTACCAATGCGGATGCGGATGTGGATGCGGATCCGGATCCGGATGAGGATTAGGTATGGGCTCTTGTCCTGTTTTCGATCCGGCTGTTCGACTCGAGTGTTTGCCAAACGTGTAAAATTGAAAATTAGGAAATCGAATGCCACCAGTGGCAGCCTTAGACAAAGAAAGGGAGCGAGGCCAGGCACTGAGGCAGGCCGGGGAAGAGTTATCAGGAGCACAAAAGCAGAATTGTAAAGTAATTGGAAATGAAAATTCATTTAGGGTCCGGATTGAGATGAACGAATGCGTCGGCAAAGGTTTCTCCAACTAAATGGGTCTTGGGGAAAGGGGCCTAAGCATAATCTGATGAGCTTTGTTGTTTCAAGCCATTCTTCGCTCATGAAACCATCTCATTTTCCTACTCAGTTTTGTCAAAATTATTCCACATACATATGTAGATCTGCAAGAACCACATCTATTAAAACCTTTAAAAGTTTAAGGTTCACAAAGAAATCGATTGGAAAATATGGAACTCAAAGCCAACAACTAATCCACACGTGACTCAATATCTTGATTTTCGAGAAGGGGCACGGCCGGTGGCAAAGTTTTGAGTTAAAGTTTGTTAGTCCCCAAAAGCCCGGTCGGCTTTTGTGATCATTTTGCACATAATTTAAGGGCACACATCCCGTCAGTCATAAATTACACATATTACATGCACGTATAAGTCGCAAACCAGATACGAATTCGCAGCGTTCGAGGGCTGTGCGGCTGTGGCAAGAGTGCGTCTGCGAACTGGGACCAAAGTGCTTAACATACTTTTTGGCGCCCGGCCCAGGACACACACGCATTGCGACCACACTCACAGTCACACACACACAATTGTACAAACAGACACATAGGCAAATAAACGCACGTAGCGCTAAAAGTTGGAAAAGTTTTGCGGGCCGCAAGTGAAAGCCGGAAAGTAAGTCAAGACGCCAGAAAGAGCTGGAAGTGTAACTTTTACTTTTGAGTTCCCCCGCCCGGTTAAATCTCTTCAAATGGTCCATTAAGTATACCTCTATTTAGAGGTATACCGCTTAGGTGTACTTCCATCGATTATTGCTTTTAAAAGACAACGAACCACCGGTGGCGTGAAAAAGTTATTATAAATGTATTGTGGCTTTAGGCCATATGATATTCTTTGAAAGTATTTTCTCTGAAAGCTATTAAAATTATCTCTAAGCATTTACAAAAGTAAACCAGTATTAATATGCCAGAATGTTAATAAATTTTGTGTATCTTAAGAATATTTAAAATTTTTTGTGTTTTTGCTTTTGGCATTAGCTTTGGCTAACCTCTTTTGAATGAATACCAAGTACCAGTATGGGGATATGTCTATTAAGCCTTGGTGCCAAAAAAAGTGTCAATCAGCTTATCCTATTTGTCCTGTTCTTTGGTCTGGTTGTATGGTGTGACAATGTTCCTGTCTACGATGAACCAAGATTGCCAGAGACTGTGATACCCTTCCATTACAACCTACAACTGATAACCCATTTAGAAGACTCGTCCAAATTTAGGTACGAGGGGGTCGTCAACATATCCATTCACATCCAGAAAGAAACCAATGAGCTAGTACTTCATGCAGCCGACTTTAAAATCAATATGAAGGAAGTATCATTGTGGAGCACTGACCATGTTTTTAAGTTGGTAAAGGCAAAGTTCAACAGGCGCCGCAGCTATATGGTTCTCACCTTTAACCAGCATCTGAGACCGGGAAAATTCTATACTCTGAAGATGCCATTTCAACGCCCCATGTCGGACGACAGCCAGACCGGATATGTTGTGAACCACTATGTGGACGGAGCAACATCCCGTACAAAGTGAGTATTGAATCTTGTTTTGTCATTGATTTCAATTCTTCCAAGCTAACATTCTTTACAGTTGGTACTCGGTGACTCACTTTAATAGGAATTCCATCCGGAACACAATGCCCAGTTTTGACGAGCCTTCTATGAGGGCTACTTTCAATGTGACCCATGGTCATCACAAACGCTTCCAGAGCTTCAGCAACATGAAGGTCCAGAAAGTCCTGCCCAAGTGAGTTCATTTTCAAGGTCTCTTCAAATGCTTCACCTCAGAGTACTTTATATTTGGTTTTCTTTTTTTTTAGTCACCAGTTTGAGGACTATGTCTGGTCTGTTCACGAGACATCGCCACCAATCCCCACATATCTGCTGGCCTTTGCCCTAAACAACTTCACCTGCCACTTCAGCCAGTCGGCCAATACCAAGCCCATTAGCTTTCGCACCTGCTCGCCGGCAGGTCAGGTGCGCGAAACCTCTTTCGCCGCGCAGGTGGCGCCGCAGCTGCTTACCCACATTGAGGAGATATTGCAGGTCCAGCTCCCTCTGGAAAAGATTGATCAGCTGGTGGTGGACAACTTCCCCACGGCAGCGCTGGAAAACCTGGGCTTGGTGGTCTATGGCAGCCACATGATCCTCCACAAAGAGCTTCCCGGCGAACCACTCACACGCACACAACTACAAATTATGGAGCTAGTAGCCCATGAGATGGCCCACATGTGGTTTGGGAACCTACTGGGCCTCAATTGGTGGACGGACCTCTGGCTGTTGGAGGGCCTGTCTTGCTTTCTCCAGTCATTGGCCATAGAGAGGATGCAGCCGCGGATGGGCCTGCGGATGATGCTCCGTAGCCGTGAGTCATCTCTGATGCATGAGACGGTGAAAGGGGGCCTAATGCTGGTCCAGGATACAATGCCCATCGAGTCCGATACCCACATGTTTCAGAAGGGCACCGCGCTGATGGTCATGCTCTGCTCCATGTTGGGCAACACCACTTTCTTTGACGGCCTACAGCGGCACCTATGGAAGCACAGCTTCGATAGCAGTACTCCCGGAGACTTCCTACGGGCGATACAACTGGCAGGCGAGCGGCATGACTCGCTCCCGGAAGGCTACGATGTAAGGACCATCATGAACACGTGGACCATGCAGAGCGGCTATCCGCTGGTGACGGTGAGCCGGAGCGATTATGGTCTGGATGTAAGTCAGAGTGACGCCCTCGATGATAACAGTACGGAGCTATGGTGGATCCCGCTCACCTTTACCATGCAGGAATCGTCAGACTTCCAGCGCACTCTTCCGGAAGCCTGGCTCACTCCGGACAAGCCGAAACTACATCTGAATCTTACTCTGCCCCAGGGCGACTGGGTAATCTTCAACCTTCAGGCCCTCGGCTACTACAGAGTCGAATACGATGAGCACAACCTGAAACTTTTAGCCAAGGCGCTGTTCAATAATTTTCGTAGTATCCATGTTCTGAACAGAGCCCAGATCGTCAGCGATGTCCTCTTCCTGAGGCGCCAGGGCCGTATAAGCTGGAACAACGCCTTCGAGGTGCTCAAGTACATTATTGACGAGGACGAGTACGAGCCACTGATGGCCTTCGTTGTGGGGGTTACTAACGGCTTCTGGGGCCTGTCGCCGGACACTTCCATTTCCATTGCGGTAAGTGGGAAAAATTAACCATCCAGTGGCATTTTTTAAACGAAAATAACATCCGGCCACCCCTTACAGAAATGGCTGGGCATTGCCGGGAAGTGGTACGCGGAGTTCATCAGTTACACGTTCGACAAGTTCGTGATGCAGGAGCAAAGTTTGAATACCCTCGATATGCCGCACTAGCTTCCACCAGGGCACGGAGGGGTGCTGTTGGGGGTTCCCAGGGAACCGCAGGATAATGGACCAGAGCAGCCCCAGTGGCACTTCCTCCTGCGCGAACAAGCAAAATGAAACCGCCATCAATGAACCGCAATTGTATTTGTTTGCAAATAACTGAGCGTTATCTGAGACTATTTATCTTTATCTACAGCAACAGCAACAGCCACGACGGCAGCTCCGCACAATGCCAAAGGACCCGGCCGCAGGAGCCAATGGCTGGGAGTAGTAGTGGCCAACTGGGAGCCGGGGCGATGGTTACTGGTAACTGGTAACTGCGGCTACACTTACAACCCGCCGAGTGCCAAGGCGCCAACTGAAATAATGACGGCAGGCGAAATAACAATAAAGGCTAAGACTCCGGCAGAGGGGCGAGCCAAGACCCAAGTAAAGGACAATATCGATGCTCCTTTTCCGCATAACGGAGAGCGTTAAAGACAATGCCAGCCAGGACCCTAATGCGGCGATTCCAATGGCGATGGCGATGGCAATGCAATGAACTTCTTCAGTCCAAGTTCTTAAAGGAATTTAACATCGTCACTCAGAAAATGAAAAATACCCACAATCCTACACAATTTGGTTTATATTTTTATACCCTTGCAGTGGGTACTATAATTTTGGTCAAAAGTGTGCAACGCAGAGAAGGAGACATCTCCGACCCTATAAAGTATATAGGGATCAGGATCACCTCCTGAGTTGATATGAGAATGCACGTCTGAATGTTGCTACGCAAACTAATCTCTCAGTTTTAAAGCTATCGACTTTAAACTTTACATACAGGCGTCTTTCCTTTGCACCCAGTATATATGGTAAATCTGAACGGCCGGGATCGACCGACTATATTCTATAGCTGCCGCAAAACTGATTTTTCGCAAACGCAATAACATGGAATGAGAATTGGGAAAAAAATAGTCATCACTTAGGGCCATATAGCGGAAAACCCCATTTTCAAGGATCACATCCCGAAAAATGGACAAAAAATCTAAAAAATATTTTGTCTCAGGGTTTTGATGCCGAATGGTGGCGAATAATCCCAGAAATCGTTTAAGGTACTCCGCTTGAGAATCGGTAAAGAATTGGGGAAGCTATAGCCATCACTGTGGGCCCTATAGGGGAACACCCCATTTTCAAGGGATCACATCACGAAAAATGGACAAAAAATCTAAAAAATATTTTGTCTCAGGATTTTGATGCAGAATCGTGGCGAATCGACCCAGAAATCGTTTAAGGTACTCCGCTTGAGAATCGGTAAAGAATTGGGGAAGATATACCCAGCACTGAGGGCCATATAAGCGAAATCCTTTAAATCCTTCAACATTGTTTTACGTTAAAGTCGATTTTGATTGATTTTGATTTGTTTATTTTCTTACTACTTTCTGATTTTTTTTCTGGGCAAGTCCCGTGATGTATTCCATGGAAGGGAAAGAAAAATAAATTTTACGCATAATGAAATTTTGGCCACAACCTTGAGCAGAAAGAGCGAAAGCTCGGCGGAGTCCTGGCGGAAGCAAATTGCGCCTAAAACCATGCAAATTAAATTTTTTGGAAAATAAATTACCATTTTCAGTTGGTGGAACTTCCTTTGAGGCCAGGGGCATGGCAAATATTTATAAATCAAATTTGGGGCCATGCATTAATAACTCTGTTTACTGCAACAAGTTTAAGCAGCTTGGGGAAAACAGTAGAGACTCGTTATGTCCAACTGCACCGCCAATTTGCGCATCATTACCTTTAAGCGTAATTATTTGCGCATCCATTATACATACTTATATAGTGTTTTTATTTAGCTTTTCGCAGGTTTTTTTTTACGTTGATCCTCTTGATGCAATATTATAATGATTGTTTTCGACGCATGAATGTTACAGAATAGTCTGCTCTCAGGGTATTTTTATTTCTCATCTGTTATGGTTGTGGATGAATACGGAAATTCATTAAGGCTGCTATTTATTTTTTCATTGTTACATATTGCGCACAAAATATTCACTTTGGAGGCAATAAAACTACAAGTCTTATGCTGTATTAAAAAAATCAATTATTATAAAGGAAGCGAAAAAAGGTCATTATGTGTCAGATCTGACCATAATACAGTTGCTGAATGCAGTTGACAGCTTTATAATGACTTTCATGGTAAATGCGGGCAATTAATTTCTTTTAATTGCCCAGGTGGCAAGGCTATAAAATGCCACAGAATATTTGTTCTTTAGTTTTTAGGGGCGAACTGCTATATTATACGCAACTATTTTAACAAATAAGCTTACTAGTATTTAAAATATTCAAATATCCAGATTAATAGGTTATCTATTCACTTCCCTGTGATAATTTCACGATGTATCTTTAAAAACCAGAACCTGTTTCAAACTAATAAACAACCAACGCACTGGGAGTCAAATGCGAGTTGGTCTCTACTTTTTGTTTTTGCATGAATTATGCAAAGGAGTTTTTTCCAACTGTTGTGGCGAGAGTGTGTTTCTGGTATCCCCGAATCCCACAAAGGGAATACTTAAATGGGATTTGGGAAATCACATACCGAGCCAAGAACCGAGTGCGATAGAGACGGTGCTAGGAAATTACCAGAATATGGGGAACTCAACGTTGGCCAAATAATTTTTTCGCTTTGATGGCATATCCAATTGCATTTCGGTTAAGTAATATTATATTTGCGAATGCTTTCCTATATACTATATAACTTTTGCACGTCTGAATATTTAAAAGAACTTGTATTGCATGCATGGAGGGTGCAACTATTAAAGCCTGGCCAATAAATTCTGTTAGCGTTAACTACCTGAAATCCCTAGCCCATTTACTTTGGCCCCACGTCCATCTTCGGCACTGCAGTCCCGGCCACCACCTGCGAAATTGCAACTTAACAATACTTCGGAGGTTCTGGGCCCCCCGCTCTCAGCTTTACTACCCCATGTGGCAGGAACGCATGCGGCGTATAAATCAATATTGGCAATTTAAAATTGGCTGGCGGTGTATGAAGCCAATATCCGGCAACGTTCAGCAGCTCGAGTGTGTTTGTAAAGGTTCCTGGAGCGTGTGCAAAAAATTGTAAGGGGCCAAGGGCCCAGGGAACAGGACAACGGGCCCCGGACTGCCATGAGAAGTACCCACTTCGTTGGGTAGATGGGTGGCGGGCTTTCCCTAGCTGGTTAGGGCAGCATTGTGAATCTTAGACAAACATTATGTGGCCCGAAACATTCGTGGGGCATGTGTGTTTGGTATGTGCTCGGCGTGTAAGCCGCACAGTCTATTAAAAATTCGCGTTCACATGTACGCTCCAATATCTTTTTCCCAAAGCCATAAAATGGTTCGCTAAAGGAGCTTAACTTAAAGTAACTATTACTATTTATGTTCTAGTTTTAAAAATATTTTATACTTTAGATTCGTTAGTAGGGAAAATCAAAACAACAGAGCCCACCACAAAAACCATCTAATTATGCGCCAATAAGTGTGGAAAATGATTATAAAATTATTATGCAAATTACTAGGAATGCGCATAGACCGTTGATATTTAAACGCTGTTTGTTTTGACTTTTGGCGCTATGCGAAATAAAATTATGACATCATCATCGTTGTTATCAGCAAAGCATCAAAAACCAATTACCCGGAGGAGGAGAAAGTGGGGCAAGTGGAATTATGCCGCATCAAAAATCTTGTTTACCCACTAAAAAGCTTAGGAATGCCGAGGCTGGGCTTCGAAACTGTGTTCCCGATGCCATAAGCAAAAAATAGCCAAAACGGCGAGCTCCGTTTTTTTTATTGTTGTTTTTCTCTTGACACAATAAAAAATATTTTTTTGGAAAGAAAAATACACGTACGTAATGGGAAAATCAGTCAAGCATAAACTATGACAAACAGAGATAAATACAGAATTGCTTTTGCCTTCAACCTTCTACGAAAAATATGAAAAACATCGTATTCTGAAAATTCTTAAAAATTATTTTATTGTTTGCTATTGAATTGATTTAGCATACACAGCAGGATATTGAAAATTGAGATCTTAACTTTTTAGTTTAAAGGTAGTCACACATTTTTAAAAGCCCAATATTGATTTTTAACACCACTCTCATCCTGTGGGCCGAAAAAGGGTGGGCTCTCCTCGAATTTTAAACTTTGTATCAAAGTCTTCCGGGTTCAATCCGGCGAAGCTTACCATAATGTTATTGGAGTATAAAACACTTTTCCTAATTAAAAGCAATCCCTGGCCGTGGCGCCCTCGCCCGTCGGCTGCAGCCGTTCGTCCTTTTTTCGCCTGGCCAAATGCTCAACTATCCTTTGGGCCGTGCCCAAGAGTTTAACATTAATTGCCGTCTTTCATTTCCCTTCCATTCTTTGCACTCACCTGCCAGGCGGAGAAACGGCGGCCAAGTGAATGTTAAGTTAAGTACGAAAACTGTAAAATGCCTGATAAAAAAGTTCGGTGAATTGAAATGCAGAGAAGAAAGGACGGAGAAATTGGTGAGCTAATAAAAAGTTTTCGCTTCCGTTCGAATTAAGTTGACAATTTTCCGTTGCTGCCAAATACCGCCTTAATTACTAGATTTGGCATCGAAAAATTGCAGCAACTCGACTAATCTTTTGGAATGCATTTTCGAACAACCTTATAAACTTATAACTTCTATAGTTAGCATATCATTTTCTATCTTTAATTCTATTGAAATTGTAACGAACAACGTTGAGCTGGTGGTCATGCAAACTGTTTGTCCCGCACGCGTTGAATTCCGGCTATGTCTCGTCGGCAAATGTCGTGGTGTTCTTTAGAGGACACAGATTACGGGTGCTCACTTGTATCTTTAATAATTAAAATTTATCGCGTGCGAATTGGTAACGATTCAAAATCGGCCGGAAAAGAGATAACATGAAAATCGGACAGACGGATGAGAAAAAGGAAATAGAACTTCTCGCTAGACATACCACGCCCCTAGATGTAAATGGGGGTGTTATTAGCCCCTCCCTACCATGGCCAATGCTCTTCCGATAAAATCACGCATTAGGCCCCTTTTAATATGTTGAACCTACGACGGCTCTTGGGTCAGCATGGAGTTAAAAAGGGTTATTTACTCAGACATTATAATATGGGTTTATTTATATAATAAAAGTAAAGATAGGATATACATTTGATCGGCTCATAAAATATTCTAAAATTAAAGTGTATTTTAATAAAACTTGGAAGATAAGTTATACAAAAAAAAATAGGTATAAGTGTTTAATAGGTAATTTTGATTTTCTTTTCATATTTAATTTACTTGAATTCATTATTTAACTTTGTTCTTGTGTTTACTTCAATTTAACTCAATATATATATATTTTTATTTAATAATTCTACATTTTTTGTGGGAGGCTAATTGTATTCAACTATTCAAGTGATCGTGTAGCATAAATTTCGGTAACAGAAATAATTAAAATAAGAATGCCGAAAATTTAAATTAAATGGTTTAACATGGCTCACCCTAATTATTCCAATGATGAAAGCGCTTCCATTCGTTGGCGGTGATGCTGTAAATTCTGTTAATCGAATGTAAAAAGAATTGACACAAGAGGAAAACTCGGCAAACACACAA